ATGCTGATTTATTGTAATCCTGTTGGGAAACTCCATCGAGCAGAAACCATTCACTTTCATAAATGCTGCACAGTGTGACACTAAATCAGAGAGTGAAGGAGAGGGGAAGGGCTCAGGCCTGCAGGAGTTTTTCTCTTTTTCTTTTTCTTTTCTTTCATCTTGTTCACAGCCATCTTTTAGCATCTTTAGAGCAGCTCATGATTTTGCCTGGACTAAAACGTCATTTATTGCTTTCATATTTGTTTTTTCACTTTTATGTGACATCACTTTACAACAGTTACACATTACGAATACTCGTTTAATTTCTTTTCAGCCATTAAAAAAATAAATAACATTACTGGCAGGCTAAGCACCAACGGTTAGATCTTTATGTCTACAGACATGTCTGTATGTGTGTGTATTTCACTCTTTATGGGGAAACATGTTATCAGAATGATGGTAAACATCACCATTTTGAAAAGGAGGGACATTTGAGGACATATGATTTGTCCACATGAGGAAAAAGCGTGTATTTTATTATTATTATTATTTTATTTATTTATTTATTCATTTATTTATTTATTTTTACACATTTGCAGCTTTTATTAGAAAATGTAAGAGACCATACAGTAATATCACCTCATAATCATACAGAAGGACATGGAAAAGCCCCACAAAGACAGCAATACAAACTGCTTCGTGTGTTTGGTTTAGCAGCCTGAAAGTGAGGCCTGCGTCCAGCAAGTTGTGGTGGACCCACGCGCTCCATGCTAATGTGTTTGATTCCATCCTCACAGTACAGTGCAGTGGCCTGACTGCACCGAGAACTAAAAGCAGAACTACAGATCGAATCGATTAATTGCTAATTGTTCCACAAACGAGTATTTTGTGACGTACTGACTCACCGGAGGGGCACATGGGGCAGAAGGGGCAACACAAGCGGGGAAGATTTTTAGTGACGCACACAATCGACACCACGTGCACTGCTGCAGTTACAGTCAGAAGGCCTGGTTCCTTTCCCCCCATTTCTTTTTGTTTGACACGTATTTCAATAAACAAATGGTTAATTCGCAGGTTTATCTTCATCATAGCTCTGAACACTCACTGCTGATTTTAGTTATAGTCCTGAAGAACTAAACCCAACCCAGCAGCTCAGACTGTGCTAGCTCTCAGGATAACAAACACGTGAGGGCTTCAATTAGTCCAAAAGGAGACTAAATTATTTCTTATGATCGAGAAGATGGACGTGATGAAAGACATTTGGTGTCGTTTTGAGAACAGACAAACAAAATAGCGTAACATAAATAAACATTTGTAATATGGAGATAGAAGACATCGTTGGAGTCCCACAGACACATTAGAGGGCTACAGCAACTTTTCATCTGTCTTCACTGGCATCATTGAGCTGAAATGTTTATTTTAACCTCGTAGATGCAAGGGTACGAGATTTATAGGTTTAGATTAAATATAGTTTAGACTTTAGTTTGTCATGTAAAATTCGTATGTATGATCACTCAACATAAATGTCTTTGATCAGCTCTAAAAAGCCAGTCCAGTTCACCCCTTACAATAAAACGTCTACAGTCATGCTGGAAGAAATAATACGATTTTTAAATGCTTCACTAATGATCTACAATAGTGTGTCTCAGTAATACTGTATTAGAGTAATGTATTATAGTTGCTTAGTGTCCTGAAATAAACTATAATACTGTTTAAATTTACCATAAGATTCATATTGGAATCCTGTGGTTCGCTCGTTATAATAGAAGTATAGCAAAAGTAAACAAATTAATGTTTTCTGACTTGTTTTCTGTGTGTGTGTGTGTGTGTGTGTGTGGGTACACACACATGTATATATATATGCGTCAGAAAACATGAATTGTAAAACAATAAAATAAAGGAAAAAAATATGGACTATGTTGTCATAACCACACCATAACCATAATTACATAGCTTAATTTTTCTTGCAACGAATTTATTTTAAATACACTACAACGACTTCATTGCTAAAAATGTTAACTTTTTTAGCGTATGTAGCGCAACACCTGCATTAGTACCCTAATTAGGGTTTCACTGTATCCAGAGAACCTGGAGAACCGTCATTCCCCTGCGGCTGTTTTTTTTCTCTCTCCAGGTTTCAGATACAGTCGCCACGTGTTCCTCTCCTGTGTGCTCTTCCATTCAGTCCACACACATTATTGTTGATGTCCAGGAAAACGTGACTATCATTTGAGGATGGACACAGACAGCTTATTAAAAGACAATGGAAATTACGCAGAGAATAAGGCTGCCGTTTGCACAGGGAACTAGGTTGGGAAGCGTTGAGAGCTAATTATAGTTTAGCCTTTGCTCTGGGAAAACGTATGTCCTATATAGACCATGTCTCCGGCAAGCCTATGTCATTTCTGTACTGCACCCTGAATGTGTCTATTACACTGAGTCAAGTAGACGTATTGAGTTCACTTTTTAATAAAGAAAATCATCTTCCACTTCCCATAAACAAGATGATGGTCTCTCATTATGTTTTTCTTAGCACCCTGAATGCTGTGCAGTTAGGCCTGTACTCAGCCTGCTGTAGCCTAGCATCCACACCATTTCTAAACACGCCTGGGTCTCCGTGTTCCTCATTTTTTTCTCATCGTTATGCAGTTGGGAGGTTTTGACTTTAAACATGCTATTAGATGAATCTTGCTAATTTTATAAGACACTTTTTCCCACTTAGCAAACCCTAAATGTCCATGTTTAACCAATACAGGTTAAAATGTAGCATATAGACTGAAATGCTGCAAGTGGTATGAACATATAGGCTAAAATGCTATAAAAGATATAAATGTAGCCTACAGAAAATGCTACAGTGGCTATAAATGAAGCAGATAGACTGAAATGCTATAAATGTCATAAATATAGTTCATAGATTAAAAGGATCAAAGCACTATAAAGGAAGCCTACCGACTTAAATGCTACAAATGGCATAAAAGTAGCCTATAGATCAAAATGCTGTTAGCTTTATATATAGAGCCTGTAGATTGAAATGTTATACATTGCATAAATGCAGCCTACAGGTTAAAATGCTGTAAGTGCTTTAAATTAAACCTATAGGCTACAATACTATAAATGAAGCCTAAAGACTGAAACGTTGTAAATGGCATGAATATAGCCTTCACATGAATATTCTACAGGCCATATAAATAAACCTATCGACTGAAATGCTAAGAATGGTATAAATGTAATGTTTAGATAAATGCTGTAAGTACTCTATATGAAGCCAACAGATTAAAATGCTCTAAGTGTTATATGTAGCTTATATACCTAAGTGCTTAAAATGGTAGAAATGTAGCATATAGACTGAAATGCTGCAAGTGGTATAAACATATAGACTAAAATGCCATAAAAGACATAAATGTAGGCTACAGAAAAAATACTACAATCACTATAAATGAAGCAGATAGATTGAAATGCTATAAATGTCGTAAATGTAGTTCATAGATTAAAATGCTCAATGTGCTTTAAATGAAGCCCATAGACTGAAACACTATAAATGGCGTAAATGTAACCTAGAGATTAAAATGTTATCCATACTATAAATGAAGCCTACAGACTGAAATGGCTGAATGCGGACAGCAGGTGTTTTGTAAGGTGTTAAGTGTGTTTTGTCTCTTGTGGCTGACGCTTCTAAGCCTATACACAGAATTAATAAACCCACAGACTGCAGGACACTTGCTAGATTAGAACCATAGAGGTGTTCTCTCACAGGTCGTCTTGAATAACCCAGTTACAGCGGAAAGCAGTGTGTGAGCTAATCATGGCTACAAGAAATACCCCTAAACCAAATGTTAGATGCCAGCAGGCTACAAAAAACAAGCCTAGAATTGTTAGGCTAAAAAAAACAGAGAGGGCCAAAAGATCTGAAGAATGATCTGGCAACAACTAAAGCCGTGAGATTTTTTTAAGTAAAGATTTTGGTGATGTGTATCAGGTTACTTCAGCTGAATTACAGCTAAATGGCACTTACAGATACTTGGAGGTTACTTCTCATGGGTGTAGCACAGAAAAAGCATTCATAATGTTATCTAAATAGCCAAAAGCAGGTAAATTTAACAATCCAAAATTTTAGATGGTCTAACGGTTTTTATCATAACTTTCATGTAAAGGTGGTTTAATCCTATTTTTGAAATCTCAGTAGGAAGTGCCTTTAAAAATTGGCCACACATTTTAACTCTTGACCTCCGGACAGGTCACGGTGCAAGAGAACAATGTTTTAAAACCCCCTTCCCAACACACAAACCAACACCCACCCACAACTCAAACACTGACACTGTTTTTTCCTTCTTCTCCTCCAAGCTCATTAGCATTTGTATTATTGTTAGGCTGCTATTCTTCTCCACTTTGCCGTTGCGGCAGGTTTGTGGGCCGCAGGCCTGGGCCAACCCCCCATCGCCATCCTGCACGGCCACCCTAATGAATATTCGAGGGTGGTGAACCCCAGGACGAGGAAATGGGCCTCAAAGTATGAGCACATCAATCTCTGCCAAAAAAGGACCATACACTGATCTCCAAAGGGCGCTATTGCTTCTGTAGGACATGTAGATGAAGACCAGGCATGCCAAACAAACCCTAAAAGAGACATGTAAATGCAGTGTGGTGAAGATATAAGACTAGGCCTTTGGACTGCTACAAAGCAAAGGTTCATGTTCATAATCCAATGGATCAGGGCAAGAGGTGCTAGTAAGCAGCCTGAAGCGGAAAATGCTAACCCACCACCTTCTTCTAAAAAAGGAGATGAAATGACAGTAAGACTTGAGAACTGGAGCCAGAAATCGAAGCTACAAGACAGTGAACTGAACTGTATTTGATTTAAGTCTTTACATTTGACTTTTCTTTGGGCCTCAAGTCAATAAAGCAGGTAATAGCTTTTTTTATACTCCCAAAAAACTGATATCAGTAAAACACATTTTTTATATATATATATATATATATATATATATATACATACACACACACACATACATACATACATACACATAAAAAAATCATATTTATTTATTCAAAACAAAAGGAGAAAAAGGCCCGAAATGATAAACATCCGCACAAATTAGGGTGTCCAAGCATGAACTAATAAAAATGATAATTCGAACGTTCGAGATGGGAGTGATTGGCGGGCCACGTCTCTGGAGAATCCATCTGGACACTGGCTAGACAGAATGACCTCTGAACGCGCCCAGTCTGACCCCATCCATCTAAAGCAGGACAGGTAATACAGGGACTAGTGGACAAACCGCTTGCTTCTGAGCCCACTCTCCAGCAAGAGCCCATCTCAGTGGCTTACGAATCAAAATAAGTCAGGACCAGCTCTCTGGATTGGTTGAGAGGGCTGCTGCTGGATGGAGGATGGGTGGCGTAGAGCTTTGACAGTGAAGCGGTGTGGATATGTGCATAGTGTTCTTTAGAGTCAGTTAACCTCCATGAAGCGTCGAGATGAACACAATGTTGTCCTGGTCCTGAAGCTGGTACTCTAGCTCACCCTGCAGAGTGCACAAAAAAGGCACGAGTTATTTACCGTTAAAAATATATACATACACCACTATCAGCTTTAATGATCCAAGCTGAATATTCCTTAGAAGGCCTTAAAAAGAGAAGCGCTTGTTCAATGTTTATTGCTGGCTGTACAAAAACAAGAGAGAAAAGAAAAGGGGAGGTCAGCCTAAAAGCTATTACAAATTAGATTTACGTCAAGCCATAAATGAGCAGACCGATCCGAACGGACACTCAACTTTAAATCAACGCTTGATTTGTGGGTTTTAGTCGTCATTGACAGTCGTCAAGACATTGACTTTTTCCTCATTGATTGTGTTTCTTTAAATTACAAGCTGATGCCAATACATGTTTTCCTGAAAGAACAACCCAGCCCGACCTTTGCGCATCAGATGAATGGAGAAGGAACCGAACAAAAAGAGATAGTGGAGTGATTCAGGAGGTACAAACACACACACACACACTCATGCATGTGGATATAGGCACACACACTGCTCACCATTAGCTCCCAGTCTGCATCGTTGATCAATACGAGAATACCAGGTCTCCTGTGTAAGGGGGAAAAGAGAGAGAGAGAGAGAGAAAGAGAGAGTCATTTACCTGATGTGGTCTATACTGATAACACTGACATAAAGCAGCTCCCTGACAATGAATAAGAAATGCCAATAGAGAGTGAGATAGGGAGAAAAAAATTACAGTTCCTGTAGTCTGGAATGCTGTATTGGCACATTTAATAGATGATGTAAAGAATTAGTGCTGAACAATTTCTGAAAATCTAAAGGAATATCTAATGGCGATTTTTCTTACCAATATTATGACTGTGATTTAAATTGCGATTATTTTCTAAGTCTGTTCTTTTAGGCCATGAAGACCAGCTTGTCCACGTTTTCAGGTCTGAGGCTTGAATGTTGAATGTGGTCTACACACGCTAGGGTGTCTGTTTGCTTCTGATCGATCTAGCTCATCTACAGGCAGTTCTCAAGCTCCATGTTGTTCGGTAAAATTTCCCCTTGTTAAAAGTTCCCTCACAGAAAGTTATCACATGAAATGATTACGAATACGCTGCCTGAGGCCTGAGACATTGTTTTATGATTATTCTGTGTTAAAAATATATATTTTAACATACGTGCTGGGTGGAGAGGTACTTGCAGGGTATAATGAGGCAATATAGTCCCTAAAGAGAACTAGTATTTTAGTTTCCACCACTATCAACATTACATGTAATATCTTAGATGATGTATAGGTTAATTATTTATTTTGGATGGTAAATGAAATGGCTATATTAGACACCTAATATAAAGACATCTGGGGCGTTAAGGTTCTCTAGAATATATCATTTCAAATAAAAACACTCTGAATGACACTGTTTACAAGTCAACAACTGAAATATGCAGAACATTTGGGGAAAAAATAAAAGAGTTTTCCTTTAAGACAATGTTAATAATATAGGCTATAATTAAAATGGCAGCTCTTGTGATTCTTGTGTAGAATATTGCAATTTTGAAACAAAAACAATTCATTTTCAGCCCAGCAGGATTCACAGATATTGTGTCTGGTTCCCAGATGTGGATTAAGCCTGGTCTAGAACTGAACCACAGTGTCAATGGTAAACTGCGATTCATTTTTTTAATCTGGGCTTTGGCTTCATTTAGGTCTGAGAAACTGGCTCTATATGTCTTGTTTGACTGTAAATGCCACCACATAGTCAAAGACAATTCAAATACATCTACGATAAAGGCACCAGATCCACAGTATACATTATAATACAGCTAGATCACATTCAATATAATGCTGTGGTTAAACTGAGGATTGTCCATTTTGAAATGTCACTAGTTTAGTGATTTGATGCTTCGTCATGCATGGAAAGCCCATGAAAGAAGAAAACCTACGCAGAGGGGAATCCCACCCCTTGCATTGCTCAAGCAATGGGACACAAAGCGCTGAGTGCAGAGTACACTTTACATCAGCTAGGAGAAGCTGAGACTTCTCTCCTCTGTGTAGGAGCAGTGCTTGGCCGAAGGTTACGCATCACATTATAGGACTAAATGGCAACCCTCCACAAAAATGTACAAGTAAGCAAATAGAACCATGCTCCTTGCACTTGTGATATAGGCATTAATTATGGTAAACAATAAATAACAGCTGATTGTAATGCAGTGTTCTTATGCTAATGCATCAAAAAAAAGCGCACACACACACACACACACACACACACACACACACACACATTAGGAATGCACAATGATATTGGAATCATATCAGTATCAGCACATATTTGCTCAAAAAAATATTGGTATCAGATGTTCAAACATTTTAACCCAATATTTGATGATGGATGCAGAACGTTTAGACAATGCTCAGTTACTGTACTAAAATGCCTGCATTTTATTTATTTTACCACATTTGTCACGCTTTAGAAAAAAGAGTAACACTAATTCAAGTTGATCAAGTCCCATTTTTTACATTCTATAAATATTTATGTACTGGCATTGGCAGATATGTACGTGTAAATACTGGATATCAGCATTTGCCCACAGTTCCCATACCAGTGTATCCATAACAAACATATAATTTAATCTTTAGTAATTAGCTAGAAATCTTCAGACACCCTGCCCATATATCTGGAATAAAAGAACACAAACAAAAAAACAAACAAACATACCAAAATGTCAACACTCCACCAAAATTCCACCTGTTCTTCAACTTATTGATAAAATTCAGTACTTCTTTAGGTTAAAGTATAGATACCAGGTGCATCACACATCAACTGTAAATGTGTGTACAGTAATGTTCAAAAGTCAGAGAACAGCCTCTTCCAGTCAAAACCACCAGTAAGTTATTCATTTTTCAGACATTTTTCTGTAGAGATTAGATACAAGATAATCCACTTGACTAAAGAAATGGAAAGTCAAAGGAAACAAAGTACCATTCAAGACCTGGTAGACCACCAAAGGAATCACCTCAGCATTACTGAATGTGTTTGGGATTGGTTGGATTAGGAGAAGCAAAAAATACAACAAACTTCTAAGACTGAACTTTGTAGGTGTGGGAAAATACCCCTGCAGATTTCTTTGAAAAACTGAAAGCGAGTGTCCTGAAAAGAACAGACACTATAATCAAGGTAAAGAGTGGACGCACTAAATACTGAAAAAATGCTCTTTTTTCAGTATTTAGTTACTGATGCCTCTGTGTAATTTTCTGTTAAATATATGTTTTTTACTTTTTCCTAAATGCCTTGTATTTAATGGCAGTTCTGACCGGAAATTAAATAAATGAATGGTGGTCTCTGACTTTTGCCTAGTACTGTATTCATTCAGACATATTTCCGTTGTCAGACATTGACAGTGTGTATTTCCTAATCATGCATGTGCGTGAGTGTATGTGTGTATGTGTGTATTTATACTCACACAGTGTCTCCCTGCACAAAAAGCTCGGGCCTCTCCTTCAGCAGGTTCCCTCGAATCCACGCCAGCAGCTGCTTCATGTCCCCTGCAAGAGTGCCACCGGAGGTCAAAGGTTAGAGGTCAGAGTTCATAGAGACAGCCCTGCGGTCGAAGTGGCGCGACAGAGCTTCGGCCGGGTGGAGGTTAAGGAAAGGCGCGGCGCAGGACGACTGCGGCACTAACGTTCAGCACTGACGCTGTCCAAACACAACTGAAGTCGGGAGGCCTTTGGTTACCGTGGCTTTGTAGCAACAAAGCATTAAAAACATGTGAGCGGTGCTGAAATCAGCGTTTTTAAGAGAACGGGGCGAGAGCAAGGCGGCCCTAGCTGCCCGCTGGTGTGGAGGAGGGCAAGAATGATTGATGGATACAAACCCAACGGCTCCCCATGTTGAAATTCAAATGAAATGGAGGACGTCTGCGACCCTCCACCCAAAACGTGACGGCCACTGTGGAAGCTGAGGTTCATGACCTTTACGGTGAAAGAGCAGCGCGTCGGCCGTCTCCTCCCATTTCGGCGGGAGGTGAAATTACAAGGTTTTTCGATTTGAGGATGGAAACGGTCAAAGAATATGGTCATTTGTAGAAATGCGCTAGACAAGCACTGATTCTGTAGTCACATCAAAAAACGGGTATACCATCACTGTCAGAATTAAAACTTTTTAAAGACAAGAAAAAAATTAATTTCTAATCTGCATTAATGTAACCAACATTATATTCCAAGTCACTTTGGATCATTCTGTCCATTCACAACAAATTGTTCCCACAATGTTAAAGAAAGCTGGCATTTCCAAATGATGTAAAATGACATAAAAAGGAGTGAGGTTTTGTATCAGAACAACAAAATACAAAACCACAATCACACTGTACTGCACTGCGTCAGTGGTAAGCAGTGCGGTGGTAATGTAAACATCACAAAATGGAGCGTATGTGCTTTGACGATGCTGACTTGTGATGGAGAACGAGCGTGTGTGTGCGCTCAGGCTATTCCACTAACAATGGCGGAACAGTCGGTAAGTCTGTGGTCCAGCATCAAGCTCACCATCAACACAGCATCATCAGCCATCTCCGGATTGAACCACTTTCCTCCACAAAAGAGGGGTGAGGGCGATGCAGGAGGAGTAATAGAGCAAGGGAGTGCAGTAGAGAGAGAGAGAGAGAGAGAGAGAGAGAGAGAGAGAGAGAGAGAGAGAGAGAGAGAGAGAGAGAGAGAGAGAGAGAGAGAGAGAGAGAGAGAGAGAGGAAGGTGGGGTGGAGAGAAGAAAAAAGAACCTATAGAACAGAATTAGTTATACGTTACAAATTAATTTGCTTTCATTAGATGACAGAAGGAAGTGTGGTAAGCCAGCAAGCTTGCAGTGACTAACATTATTTGTCCATAAAGGTGACTATACTGTGTGTATACGTTTGTGTGTGTGTGTGTGTGCGTGCGTGCGTGCTCTAAAAAGGACGGACTCTGTGCTTCTGATCTAAGGGTCCTCCATATGAAAAGCAATTAGTCTTATCAGGAGGGTGACAACAGAACCTAAGCTTTGAAACACAGATCAGTCAGCAGTCAAATAGCAGCACCTTTAACACGCACCACAGTGGTTAGCTGTTCTCCTACGTATGTGCAACCAAACAGAACCCCTACTATGATATTATCACATTATCACTACTACATTATTAGAGCTATTGAAACCCACAGTGTCAAAGAATTGTATTATTACATTATTACTATGCTATTACAGTAAATAGAACACAATATTAAAAACTGTATTATTACATTATTACTACTACTCTACATCTACTAGAACCCACACTATCTAAAACTGTATTATTACAGCAAATAGAACCCTCACTGCATTTTTACTACTACATTACAGCAAATAGAATCCACACTTTCAATCATTATGTGACTATATTACTACTACATTAGTAAAGCAACTGGAACCTACACAAAAAAATAATTTACACATTATTACTACTACATTATTATTTAACAATTAGTGCAGACAGCACAATCTGATTGGCTGAGAAGTGTTCTACACTTGCTGTTATTTGTGATAAACGCATTTTTAAAATAATAACTATAATGACAATAAGCACAGGCTACTAGGTAATGACTCCTTTTATGCTGTAGCTAACTTTCTGTTAATTTCTACACTCTTAAAAAAAGAGCCTTTTTAAAAATGGTTCTACATAGCACCAAAAAGTGTTCTGCTATTGTTGTGAGCTTGATATCCTAACAATAGAAGAACGCTTTTTGGTGCAACATAGAACCATTTCTAAGAAGGATCTATATAGAAGAATTTTTCCACCCTGCAAAGAACCATTTAAGCATTTAATGGTCTTATATAGAGCTCATTCTAAACAGAACCATTCCCTTTACTAAAGAACCCTTGAAGAACCATCATTAAAAGTGAATTTTAGCTCATTAAGAAAACAATACATTTGCTAACTAAAAATAGTCTCTGAACATGTCCCTGACCATAAGCAAGGGCTTCGGTCAGCAGCTGTGAGGGCAAAACAACTGAACAGACTAGAATTAGCCAGAAAATCATAGCACCGTTTGGCAAACAAGACTGGCTGTGAAATGTTTTACTGACTGAAAAAAACATCCAGGTTAATCTGGCAAATACTGAAAAAACTGAGCTGAATCTGATATTGTGAGAGTTTTACGGTTCTATCTTAAACACAAATGACTGCTACCTTTTGGCCAGAAGGAAGTGCCGATTTCAAGAACATTTGATACATAATTCAAGGCTTTCCTGCTTTACTTTGTTGTTGTATAAAAGCAATAAAACACTTGAGGTTGTGTGTTATTGTGAACAACATCACAGCTAGGATGATCTCTTATGTTCTCATCTTTGGTTTGGGCCTGCAACCGAATCAGAGCCATGATGTTATTTTCGATAACACACTTCCTCTTGTGTTCTACTGCTTAATTAGATCATGTTGAAATAGTAAAACATCTTGTTGGATGAAGCCTTTTTATATCATCTCACTGTTCCGCCCTGCAATTCTGTTTTGCTCCAGTAACTGAGAAACTATTTTGTGATGAACTTGAACTATACTGAATTCAAGGTATGCCAAAGAAGGCATTATAACACCTTGCCCTTTCAGCTAAAACCCATCATGGGACTATGCAACACCCACACATTCTGTACCACACACAAATGGCTGGACGAAACCATGCTTGTGCATGCAGCGTCCAGCACTAGCCGCCAGACTGTCAGGCTCATGTAGCCGGAGAAGAAGGGGGACAGCTCCAGTCTCTGGTGGGCTCTGCAGTGGCTGAGAGACCAGGAGAACACGAGCGAGGGGGAGGGGGGGTGCTGGGAAGCCCTCATGTGTTTGAGGAGACATGATGACGTGCCACTGCTTCAACACAGCAGCCGCCATTGATGCTGTAGTTTGCGTGATAAACCTTTTGTCAGGGTGCGCTGTCTAGTAAACAATATATAGGCTAATAAGTGAATGAATAAGTTGATCGTGGTTAACCATTTTGGAAAACTGTGCACAGCTACCAACTCGTGCGTCTGATTTGTTACGGTACCTCCCTCTGTGTTCCTAATGATACACAAGACTAATGTGCAGTGGCTAGTAGGTGTTGATATTTACACTGTTGCTGTAGACATTAGGGGAGGGCAAAGCAAAACTAACATCAGTATGTTTGAATTTTAGAAGTATAATGATACTAATATCAATTATTTTTCATAAATATGCTGTCAGGGACACTCTAGCAGCTTTGTCTTCATGTACAGACAGGGTTTTCACATGGTCAAAAAGGATGCTGGTGCTTCTACGTATAGTTATATGTCTTTTCAACAAAAAATGTACAGTATTCTTTGTAATTTAAGCTCAGAAACAAAACAGTTTGTGCAATTTGTTGTTCATTTTTGGGCTTAATTCAGTTGTTGAGATGTAAACAAAGTAATTCAGAGCGGTTTTATGTGGAATTGTGTATTGTAAAGAAACTGACAGGCTCAGATGTCTTACAGTGAAGGTGTCAGGAACCAGGGGTAGCAATGTCTACAACACAAATATAGCCACTTTGGTGCTATATAGAACCATTTTAAATGACCGTATATAACCCTTTTTTATTGTTAGGGATGGACTATTTGATGCTGCAAAAAAACAGTCAAATTGTTCTGTTCATGTTCCATATACAAGCACTGCCTTTATTAAAGAGCTCTTGAAGACCCATTTTTAGGAGTGTATTGTAAGACAATGTCTTGTAACTATGTGTTGTTAATGCTTCAGACGTCTGGTTCTTAACACCACCACTGCAAACAATTCTGACTTGATAAGCTTCTCTAGAATGGATCATTTCACATCAAACCACTCTGAATGTTTACATCAGACAGAATCACACAGAAATTATGAAAAAAAACAGGAATTCCCTTTTAACACAATATCAGCTTATGAAAATTGTAATGTATAACAAAAGGCACTGAAAACTATACATTAATGAATATTACTCATGAGATCACAACAGGACAAGAAGAGGATGTAGTGTAGTAAAGGCACCAGTGCAGTTCTATTCAGTGGGCAGCTGTACTGGAGATGGAGCTTTTAGGACTGTCAGCACTAGTGTGTGTGAGAGGAGTATATATGTGTGCGTGTGCCTTGCTTAGCTGCGAAAGGCAGGGGGCGAGCAATAGAGGCTGTTTCAGGTTAATTGGATCGCTGTCAGCCTCCTCAGTTGTGTAACGATCGCTGTACCTTGCAGGCCGGCTAGCCCCACACTCCGGCACCTATAAAGAAGAGTGATGCTCACCCCAGCGCAATGTCCAGGCAATGAATATTGACCCGCACCAAAAATCAGGGGGCTAAAAACAGAAGCAATCACTTCTGCCCTCATCGTTCCTCCGCTGGAGCAACTTTTAATAACAAATGTAATAAAAACCATGCGCTAGAACCTGCCTTCCACAGAAAAGAAAAATGTTTGAAAATTTGCAGGTTCCATTGGGCAGAGCTAATGGTGGACAGGATGTCCAACATCTTAATCAATCTTTTATCCAACGCTGAGAGGAGAACGCATTGGAGGAGTGAGGGACGGAATGGAAGGGAGGAGGTGGTCTGCGTCACCGCGCTAAGGTGCATGCTGGGATATCGGCTGTGAGGGAGGGAGAAGGCGCGTAGCGTAGCGTAGTGCAGTATAGCGTAGCGGCTAAGCTAGCATTTGCTTTCTCTCCTTTTTTGTATCCCAAGCATTATCACCATTATTATCTGTGGGTGGGAGGGGATGAAGTTATTCATCATGGCAGCGATATGAGAGACGCCTTCGTTTCTATGACAACTGTGGTGCGTATGTGTGTGTGTGTCCAGCACCACAGGACTCGGCCTTACTCATCAATCACAGGGATTTGGAGCATAAGACAGAAATTTAGGATGGGATGGGATGGGGAGGGGTGGGATTACGACGGACCCCCAATGTCAGTCTGAGAAATCGCAGCCAGTCATCCATGACACAGGCAAATATCTCTTACTCACACAGACACGGACACAGGAGTTACAAGGTCATCCCCTGGCCCCAGTAAGGTCTCTCTGGCCACATTCCCCCCTTCAGTCCACTTTTGTGGACAGGTTGTCGTGGAGACTCCAGTGCCATGGAGATGACCCCACCGTTGTTAGTGCTGCTGTTGTTTTATGGAGGTGAAGACACAGAGTAAAGCACAACCATTTCTGAGTGTTCACTAATGCAGAAAAGGTTCTGATCACTACGGTTGTAGTTTAATACAGTTGCATGCAAAAGTTTGAATACCCCGGTCAAACTGTGTGTTATGTTCTCTTAGAAAATCAACAAATGTTTGTACAGGGAACTTAAATATGACATTATTCAGCAGACTTTGACACACTTGATAAGTGTAAGATATTTGAAAAGAAACTACTAAAGAAATAAAATATGAATTGTGTCATATCAAATATGATAAAATATGATTTGAAAATAAAGTATGTTTTCTGAACATTAAATTCAGAAAATAAAAGGTAATTGGGCCTTAAAATGTGCGGTTCTCTGTAAAGGATGTGTACAAACATGTAATTTACCCAGGGGTGCCTAAACTTTTGCACCCAACTGTACTACAGGCGCTTATGCATGCTTACATGTCAGGCTTGTTTTTGTTATTAATCTTAAAGGGCCCATATCTTACATTTTTCTTGCTTTTTGTATTTTCCCTGAGATCCACTTATAACGTTTGTGTGGTTTTACATGACCATTTTCCTATCTCTCTTTATCTGTGGCTTTAGAACTGATATATACATATATATATATATATATATATATATATATATATATATATATATATATATATATATATATATATATATATATATATATACATACACACACACACACAAATAAATGACCTCTGTTCTGACTGGCTGGCTTCTATTGTTCCTCATTCAAAATTCTGTTCGGAACGAAATGCTCCTTATAACTTCAGTGTGAATGGGTGGAAATGAACTGCTTTAGGCTGAATAGATGGATATGTAAATGTGTTGGATTTCGTGAGGTCACAAAAAAATGTATTTAAGATAGTTTTGTTTTTGCTGATTAGTTTCCATATACGGATTGTATGGATTGGGGCTTGAACATTAACTTTTGTTCACATCCGATCATTGTCGACTGGTACTCAAGGTTTCACTAACGGCATCTGAAAAAAAAAGAGTGGTATCATGCCATCACTACTTATAGTCAGCTCTGACTTATTACTCAGTAAGCACTTTAAAATGAATGTGCAAATTATGTAGTTATGCGAGTGAGGAACCAAAGTGTGCACTTACATAAGTTTAAGAGGTTAAACACTATTTTACTGATGTAGAACCAGACTACTGAGTGACCAAACATGAGGCTCTACCAAGCAGGGGGAGATCTCTAAAGAACTATCCAGCAGTGGGTAGTAACTAGTTACAATTTCTCAGATATCAAGAAAAATTGGACTGGATGGATTCATACTTTCCAATTTTCAAATGACTTTTACTTTGTATTTTGTGCAAACTTGTGAGGAAACTAATCTACTTCTTATTCAGTTACATTTCAGTCTTTAACATTTAGCTACAACTTGTTTAAATTTGTTTCATTTCTTAAAGTTAGTGACAGTGTCTATACTGCCTTGTGATTGGTCACACCTCTGATTTTTTGAGGTTTATTAATTTATTTTTAAAAAGTGCATCAGAAAGAGTAGAATAAGTTGAACAAACTTTCTATGCTGATAGATGCTGGACGCATCACAGCAGTTCTACGGGTCCCTGCTACTTTAGTACTTTTGCTCATGCTATTATTTTTTACTTGAGTCATTATTTCACAGAAGTAACGGTACTTTCACTCAAGTACGGCTTCAGGCTCCCCACCTCTGGGAATCCGTCTCAGCTCTAAGGCAGAATTTGCTGGCCACTCTCACCCTCGGCACCACTTTCACCCCGATGCCCCACCAGGAAGCCTGTAGGAATCTGAAAAGGGAGGGGGCAGTGAGGCATTCGTCCTGCCACCCCCCCCCAAAAAATGATTGCACACAAAAAAAAGGCCTTGGTGCTTTGTCACCACCATCCCTCCCTTCTTTGCTAGGCCTCCTAGTGCCCCTACCCCGCTCCATACCTTTCCAGTGACCCTGGCGCTGGGCATAAAAGACCCATCAACAGTATCACTGGCTGCATTTACAAGTGAAAGAGGCTCAATAATGGAGCAGTTAGAGAGAGAATGGGCGAGCCTGAGGAGGCTCACAGATGTTGGTGGTGTACGGAGGGGGAGGAAGAGGGAGGTGGATGGAGACAGAGGGCTGAACTCTATTGTTGCTGAGCGAGAGAGAGAGAGAGAGAGAGAGAGGAAGAAAAAGAAAGAAAGAAAGAAAGAAAAAGAAAGAAAGAAAGAAAGAATATAGGATATATATATATATATATATATAAGGATATTAGAAAAGGGAGAGAAAGACAAATGAGGAAGTGCGGGAGGGAAAGAGAAGGAAAGAGTAAGACAACTTGACAGAAAGAAAGAAAAAAAGCCAGAAAAAAAAGAAAGTAAAAAAGGAACAAAGAAAGAAAGAAAAAAAAAGACAGAAAAAAACAGAGAGACAGAAAAAGAAAACGAGAGCAAAAAAAACTGAGAGAAAAATGAAAGAGAGAGAGACAGAAAGAGAGGAAAGGAAAATGATGGGGAAAAGAGAGAGAGAGAGAGAGAGAGAGAGAGAGAGAGAGAGAGAGAGAGAGAGAGAGAGGGGAGAAAGTGAAGGAGACAAAAGAAGAGGAATGGGGTGATTATTTTTCAAACCCATGTTTGATGAGAGCAAACCAACACTGGGCCAACGTTGGCTCAGCAAAGAGGCCGAGGAGGCAGGGCTGGGCTGGAGAGCAGGTGTCCAGGGGAGCGTGTGAACCAGGGCTTGTGGAGGTCAGAGAGAGAGAGAAAGAGAAGATAGAGAAATGGAGGGAGGGAAAGAAGCACCGTTTGGGATAGAAGGAGGACTGAAAAAAGATGGGTGTATGCATTGGCCACATGATAGAATGTGTTTTGTGCTTTGGTAAAAGGCGTAAAAAAGGCTTTCTTCGGCTGCAGCAGGGACGAGGGCAGCGCTGACATTCCACTACCCTTTCTTCCGCCTCCAGGAGAGACAGGGGTCGAGATGTATGGAACTAATTAAGTGATCAATACTGGGAATTGTCAGGAATTGATTTGTTGGCGAGAGAGAGAAAGGGGTGAAGTCCCTTCTGAAGTTATGAGGAGGTCCAATCATTTCTAATAGTTTCACTGAGGAATTTATGCCATGCTAATTTGAGGTTATTTTCAAGTCAGCGTGATTGAGTTCACTCGTATAAATCATTTTTTCCTTTCTATTTCAGTAAAACATCATGAGCCATCTGGTAGTGTGACATTTTAACACAAGCCTTGAGAAGAAGAATGTGTTGATGTACTTTTGACTGTACTCACAGGGATCTGATTGGCCAGGCAGTGTCACATGGTGGTCCTTCACTCCATCAAACAGGAGTTCAGCCCCTCCTCTGAAAAGAAGAACACAATGGAAGAATTATAATTTGAAAAATTAGGACATGGCAACTGTTTAAATCAATCAGATGGACATCAGAGGTTAAAAAGTATTCTACCTGAGGACCATGGAGCTTTCTTTTTTTCGCTTCTTAACAGAAAATCATCAGCAAGAAGACCCAATTCCACCAATTTCTTATGCCTTATACACAAAGTACTTGCTTTATAGCATTGCCATTGGAATAACATTTTTTTTCATTTTAGTACATGAAAACTCCAGCTGCCATTTCATGATGAATAGACCAATAGAAATAGTCCAAAATTACTTGAACAAAAATCTTTATACTTTAAAGTCCATTATAGTAATTTTATTTTGAACTATCTCCTGAAAAGTTACTGTTTTAGAGGTTTTGTTCCAACAGCAATGACATACAATACCTGCAATACAGTTGCACATGATCACTTTGTGATCATGCTGACAGCAGGTAATAAGTTAAGGAGCTTTAGATAAAGAGAAAGTTGCAAATGAAAGCATCTCTGGTTCCCCTACAGAGAGAGGTCATTGAGATTCATTGGAAGAAGTGATCGTCCAACAAAAGGATGAGTTCCTCTTGTCCCCGGTCGATTCAGTCATTAGGATGACTAGCTCTGGCTATTGTTACCCAACAGGAAGCTCCATCTGCTCCAACAAGAGACCCTGAAGATGCCTTCACTAAAGCAATGGTCACTAACTCTCCTCCTGTATCTGCCATCCTGCAGAATTTATTTATAAGTAACAATTATCTCTATAATCACTTAACCTGTCAACTATTCTCCAGTTAACTGACTAATCAAGCTTTGGTTGCTCTCCCATTGCTGATGTCCAGATGGCCAAAGCACTGTTTATGTGACAAGAAACCTTTTTGGTGCAAAAAAGCAGACGCTACATCGCCCCCTAAACTTTTGCAGTCTACTGCAATCTGCTGGAATGACCTTATCGCTGTTGTCGGAAGAAAACCTCGTATCTCCAAAATGATAACTTTAGGAGAAGAAAAAACCTACTTTACTTTTAATGTAAGTCAGTGGAACCAGACTTTTTTCATTTTAGGTCATTTCTTTTATACCATTCATCATGAAATTTACATACAATGTAATGGGTAACAGGTATCTTCAAATAATGTAAAAAACTGAAAAACGTAAAAATGGAGATTCGAGGTTTTCTTTCAACAACAGCGATATGTATTATTTCATGTAATCCTTGTCCTGGTGACCCCATGCTCAGCACATTTTTGTGTTTTCCCTTCTCTACACGCATGGCCCAAACACTGCTTGCTTGCTAATTAGTTAATGAGATGAACTAAGTCTGCTATCTAAAGACAAAGCACAAAAATCTGCAGTGTGGGGTCACCAGGACTGGGATTGGGAACCTCTGATTTAAAGCACGAGCGCCTGTATTCCATCCTGGTGATCTACTGCCTTGGTAAGTTTATTGCCAACAAACCTGATGGAAAACTACACCAACATGAACCTAGCAGCCGAGGTAGGAGAGACTTTGCTAGCACTGGTATACGAAGGCTTCTTCTCAGTTCTCACTCACACACAATCAAGATGGCGAGCACGCTGTACTGACACAACGTGGCTTACTGATATAAACAAATGTTTAAAAACTTTTAAACTCATATAGTTACAATTTGTATTACATCATTCCTCTGGTGCCTCTGGTATCCTTAGCTTTAAGGCACAGTTTATGGTAACTATATAAGAATTCAATTAAAATTGACTTTAATAGTGCTTTTTACAGCTGTCAGGGTCACAAGGCAGCTTTCCAGAAATCAAGATCCAAGCCAGGACTAGGATTGGGAACCTCTGATTTACAGCAGGAGTGCCTGTACCTAGTCCTGCTGATCTACCGCCCTGGAGAGTTTAGCGCCAACAAACCTGATGGAAAATTACACAAACCTAGTCTCGTGGGGCCAGGCGAGAACAAGCATGATAGATTTTGGCCAACTATGTGTTATTAGGGTGTAAAATTCCTCAACAAACCCAATGCTTGGTGAAAGCAGAGCTCCAAGTCGGAAGCAACAGTGTGCTCATCAACACTGTCCAACAGACAACAGGCCTGTCGTTAGCACATGGATGTAATGTAAGTTGGTGTGACTAAAAACTAACCCAAAAAACTCCAATTATGTATGTAGATGTGTGTCGCAAGAGAAACATCAGCTCTTGCTAGACAAAGTTTTTATTAGTTGATGTTAGCTAGTAGAATTTGGGGGTGGATTTTAGAAAGGGGCTTACATCCAGCACCAAAAGTCTAAGTTGTTCCTAGATGTGTTTTCTCATCACAAGACTACATCCGGCCCAAAAGACACCAGTAGCCTATATCTTTATATACAATATAACATCCCACAACCAGCGAGGTCAAGTTTATTTAATAATTGTTGCAAGATTAGTGTTAACCCTAATCCACCACACCTGATCGACTATTTGAGGTCCCAATATTTGAACACTGAAATCACCATTCGGGTCTTTGTTACATTTCATCACAAGAACACAAAGAAATCCTAATAGCGAAACACAGTGGTTTTGATGGTATTTGCAAGTATGTTATGTTACACTTTGCTACTCTGAAAAGTGTGTTCATGCATGTTGTTAAGGACGTGACTGAAAAGGCAGCGATAACATGGCTGTATCATTAACTACATTAGCTACTTAAGCTAAAGTAAGCTATGAAAATACAAATAACATGTTGGCAAAACATTTACAGAGACAAGTCCTCATCAGCATCCAGCATGACACTAGTTTTCTCTGTTAGCTCATAAGCTCATCTGAGGAGACCTTTGTTTCTCACCCAACACAAAAACCTACCGATTTCCCGCAGCTGTTTTTGAATAATAACATGTTTTTGAGTGTATTTTGTGTGCTTCTGTATTGTTGTGCAACACCAGAGCAGTCACCTAAAAAAGGTAACTGTTTTTTTCCCTTAAAAGATATTCATTTATGAAATTAGGTGGAATGCACATCCCACGTCTCAGCGGGAATGCTGCAGTTGAGATAGAAGAGACCTTGCGAGCAGTGGTACATGAAAGCTCCTCCTCAGTTCTCACTGACACACATTACTGACACATCATGGCTTACTGACATAAACAAACGTTTTAAAAACTTTTCATTTCACAATTTGTTTTACATCTTTGCTCTGGTGCCACAGCATCTGACCATTTATAGTTGCTTTTTTGAGCATAAAGGCCACTTTCAAAGGATCTTGACAACCTTCAGTGACGTGACGGCTGAGAAACACAGCCTTTCTCTGCTGTATCCTTAGTTTTGAGACACAGCTTATGACAACTACATTTCACTTCGATTAAAATTTGTTTTCATAGTGCTTTTTACAGCTGCCACGGTCACAAGGCAGCTTTCCAGAAATCGAGGTCCAAACCCCAAGTGAAGCAAACCTTGAGAAGAACAGAGACTTAAAAGGGCAACCCATCCTCCTCTGATCAATACCGGGTATCAAAGCAGTAACAGAACAAAACAGAAATTTTGCATTGGACTTGAACATGGAAGGCACAGTTTAAAAAAAACAAAAACAAACCATGTTCACCATAGCTATTGACCAAAGACTTAAGATGGTGGTATAAATTAGAAACCTCTACATGATGTCTGAGATCAAAGCCTTAATCAGAAATTGCCGAAACTGCTCTACAACCACCTCGGGTCTGGTGAATATGATAACAAAGAGCATGGCAGACCAGTTTAAATTCCACAAGATCGAACTGTGTTTGGTCTTCAGCTGGGAAAAGAGCGAGTGAAGGAAAGCAAATAAGCGACTGAGAAAAAGAGAGTAACTGCAGACATTCGAAGAAAGATTCACATATTTGGGCCTCCTTCCATCTTTGCTGATATATATCATTGCTGTCAGTCAAAAACCTTGCATAGCCAAAATAGCAACTTTTCAAGAGAAGGACAAAACATTCTAAACTTTCAATGTAAGTTAATATAAAAATAAATATTCTAGCAATTTTGAATCACTTCTGTTGGTCCACTCATCATGAATCTTAAGCAGAGTGTAAGGAACAGCTTCAGATTATGCCCAACCTGACAAAAAAATGGAGATGCAAGGTTTTGTTCCATCAGAGACGACATACATATTTACAGTCAATAAAGGCTCAAATATGAGGTTTAACGAATCCAGCAAACGGTGGTCTATGAAAGCGAGATGGTGTTGATGTTAGTGAAGCAGCACGTCAGCGAGAGATGCAGCGAGCGAGAGACTCATGTAGCAGGTGCAGGCTCCATAAAGAGCGCTCACATCTCTTGGAGAATGCACAGTTGTCCTCCAGATCCTCAGGGTTGGCCGGCCGCCCGCGTTCGAGCCGTCCAGAGAGACACTGCCACATCAAGCCTGCATGCCAGGGTCAGTAAGGCTACTCTCAAACACCATCTCTCTTTTTTCCGTAGAGAATGACAGAGGATTCTGTGATGACTTAAATGCTGGGAGGTCTTTTATATGGTGCCAAATGTTAACTTTTTACTTCATGCTTGACCTCAATCTATGGTTTGTTCTGAGGGTAACAAGCAGTGGCTAGCATCTCTGGCCGTCATGGTCAAAACGAATGCTAAATGTTGTACACCGAATGAAGACAAATGGTAGGATGATGCAGTCCCTGTTTTTTTGAGGACAGTTTCTGATTTAAAACACACTGCACAATCAAAACGTCTGCCTGGAACAGTCCAACAGTCTGCCCTTCAAGTAAAATTAAAATGTGTCACATAAAAATGAATAAATAAGGTGATTTCTAAAGGTCAAAACAGAAAAAAAACACTGTCCACCAAAAATGACATTTTTCAATTCTTACAGCTTGCCATATGCGATCATCTACTGGTCCAACTAGGCTACAAATACATAAATATATTTAATACAGGTATTTGTTTATTTAAAAACCTGTTTATATTTCTAAATATAATTGAAACTCAAGCTAACAACACATTTTGCAGAGCTGATTGTAAAAACAAATACTCTCGCTTAAAAGTCAGAGTAAGTCTAGACTATTAAAGCAGCTAACCTGGCAGCGCTGTGCTCCAAGCTGGATAACACTACGTTATTCATTACCCTACTGTAATAACTGATGCCCTGGTAGACAATGATAAGAAAAAAAGAAAATTAAAATATCAAACTGGCTTAAAGCATGTGACAAGTACGACTCAGTTTAGTACAGAGACGAAAAACACAGGACAGATAATACAGTATGGAAATTCATACACGGAAAGATTTTTATATGGAAAAGGCAACAAAATGCTTTATGCCTGTATTCTTTTCACAATTTTCACAACATTTTAGGCTTGTTCTTAATTCTTATGTTTGTTCTGTTTTCTTAGGCTCATTCTTAAGTCTTTTACTCATTTCTTAGGTGTCTTCATTTGTTTGGGCACTGTTCGTGTTACTTAAACTTATTCTCGAATGGAGAGTTGGCTGTCCAGTGAGCTATGAGTCTGAACACCAACACAAAACACATAAAAATATAGCTGCTTTCACATCTGCTCAAGCTTTTACATACTGCATAACATACTCCAACTTTTCAAGTACAGCATAGTCGTATGTAGACATTTGAACACCTCTGGTGTTTTGTTGATTTTCTAAGTGAAAAAAGTTAACACCTCCTCTACAGGGAACACACTTGAATATTGCATTATTCTGCAAATTTTAGTGCACCATTTTTATTTATTTGCAAATTTTTGCATATTGGAAAAAATAAAACATCTAATATACAACATGTCTTAACTTTTGCACAGCCTACAGTTTGTTTTATTTTTTCCCCAATATTTAAATACAGCAAATAAACAGTAATTGTGCATTAAAATGTACAGAAGTGTGTTCTCTGTAGACGATGTGTTTTGTTATTTGACCATATCATGTTTGAAATAAGCATGCTGCACGGCAGTGAAAGCAACATGTATGAAAGACAAAACAAATTCATTTTGGACTGAAAAAGGTGTTTAAGTAATGCAGGGCACAGCAAAAAACACACTACTGATTATTATGTAACACTATGTAACTCACTACATAATCTGTTTGTAGAACATTATTCAAAGTGACTGTCACATGTTCTGTTTTCTATGTTCATACAATGCTTTGGCAAATGAAAGATATTCTGATCCTGGTTATTGACATTCTGTGGAGAAGGAGTTTTCTTAAGTATGAAGGCGCTCAAAGAAGCATTTACTTGTATTCTCTGCAGCTCAAATCAAGCTGGTATTGTTCTCTCTCTAGTGTACGCCTCAGAGCATTAAACCTTATAAAATGACACCTGCATTCACTTAAGACAGTGAAGTAAATGGTTAGGATAAATAGAATAATGACTAAATTAAATGTTTTGACTTTTTTGAAGTTAAGGCAGTGTGCAAACTGAGTAGTCTCTGTCATTTACCCACAGATATCTTATCCTGTGCCAATCAGCCACAAACATTACAGACATCCTGTGGTAAAATTACCCCATATCCCCATGGAAAAACTAGTCTTGTCCAAATAGTACTAAAGTTCTAAAAAGGTACCACTTACTGTCCATATATGGAAACAGACCATTTGTAATTCACTGTTTTTGTGATATTGCAAAAACAAACACACTGAATTCAGAATACAGCAGTTTAGTCTTGCCCACTCACACTGAAGGTATGTAGACTGCTTTCTAAATGAGGCACAATACAGGACAGTCAACCAGAACTGGACTGACATTTATCAGTCATAAAGGCACAAAAACAAACAACCTGTTAAATTCTAAAAGATAAAAAGAGGTCGTAAGTTTTTGGTACATGCAAAAGTTTCCACCAATAGAAAATAACTTACATAGCCATTTAGTAATCATAATAATGAGAAAGTTTTCTATAATTACAAGGTAGTATCTCATAATAATGAGGTTCAATCTCATATTTATGACTTAGCATCTCATAATTATGACTTAGCATCTCATAATTATGACTTAGCATCTCATAATTATGACTTACTTTCTCATAACTATGAGATGGTTTTCTCATTATTATGAGATGGTATGTAATGAGTATGAGTCATAATTATGAGATAGAATCTCAATTTATGAGACAGTCATGAGCAAGCCATAATTATCAGATGCTGTCATAATTATGCAAAACATTTTCATTATTATGACTCATTAAATAGCTAAACATTTTTAACTAGTGGCAGAAATAATACATTCAGGCAGAAGCAAAAAATTATACATACAAAAAAAAACAAAAAAAGTGTAGGATATGGGTCATCAAAAGCTATTTCAGAGCACTGTACAGAATATGCTGTAATGCGCAAGGTGGTGTGTTTTTACCCTCTCCACCCTCTGTTTTCTTCTCTTCTCTTTTTGTTTTACTCCTCATAACCTCCAAAAACATTCTCAGCAATCAAACTTTAACACTCAACACCTGAACTAAACTGGCCACAGCAGCGCTGGCCCCAGGATTAGCGACTCAGTGTCAGAGTCTGAACAGACAGCAGTGGAAACATCACAGAGCCCCAGCTGCTCCGTCTGAAACAGCGCCTGTTCTGCTCTTTAACCCAAACACAGAGACGGACACTGTCCTGCAGGCGAGCTAACGCCGTGCCGAGTGCAGGGAAGCTCGGCTGAGTGACTGTAAACGCTTTCCACGAGAAAAACACAGAGGTAAATCACACCAACCCGAACTCCAGATGGACCGCTAAGGGCGCCGCCATGTTGCCGCTCTAACAGGAAGCAGTCACGCGTCCTCACCGGAAGGAACGCCTTCATGAGCGCGGCGCTCTTCCGGTGAGTCAGAGAGGTACCTGAGAACACGGAGTTACTGTATTAGACACTTTTAAGTCCTCTTAACTCCACATTCACATTCAAGATATGAAGGACATACACAGGAGTCTATATATATATATATATATATATATATATATATATATATATATACATACACTGATAGGTATATAAGAATAGCCTGAAGTAGAGGGACCCTTTCTGTGTTGGGTAATTTTCCACAGCATGACTAAAATAAAAAATTTGAAATGAATGGATAAAAACTGAGAAAAATAATCTCAACATGTTCACACTAACACACATAACCTCACACGCCAAGGCTTAACAAAGGCAAAAGCATGAAAAGGAAATCAGCAGGCTGAAACCAAGAGGAGAGAGAGGGAGAGAAAGAGAGAGAGAGAGAAAGTGGTGGGGGTGAAAGCACACACAGGTGTCTTCCTCATTTGACACAAACTGATTAAAGCAGTTATAGCTGATTATATGTAAAATAGACGATCTACATACACAAATGAAAAGAAGAAAAATAGAAGTATTGGTTCCAAAACTGTAAGCTTTTATTTTTTTTATTCTGTTCAAAATAATAAAGTAAAGCTGTACGTGTGCTAATTTCCTCTGATTGCTGTTTATAATCATATAGTAGTAATGCTAGCCGCCCCCCCACACACACACACTATGTTAAATTCAGCAAATAAACAGTAATTGTGCACAGAAGTGTGTTCTCTGTAGAGGATGCGTTAACTAATTTTCACATAGAAAATCAACAAAACGTAATTTGACCAGTGGCCTTTGCATACAACTGTCTCCATCAGATAAACAGCATGGGTCTGGATGTGTAGCTGTCAAAAAGCCTCCCTGAGAAAAGGAAATCAAACAAAGAAACTGCTGGTGTTCTCAGATCAATGGACTGACCACCCCAGAGTCCAGACCTCAGCATCGCTGAATGTGTTTGGGATTACTTGGATTTTGAGAAGCAGAAAATGCAACCAACTTCTAAGACTGAACTTTGTGTGTAAAAAGATCCCTGCAGATTTCAATGAAAAACTGAAAGTGAGTTTCCTGAAAAGAATGGAAGCAGTTATAAAAGCAGTGAAGAGTGGACACACTAAAGACTGATAAATATTTAAAATATAAAAACTGATAATATATTTAGCTGTTGAGGCTTTGAGTACAGTTCTGTAAAAAATATGTTTCCTGCTTTTTTTTTCCCTCATACTGAAAAGCAAATAGGTTGTATTTAATGGCTGTTTTGATTGGAAATTAAATATAAATGAAGGGTGGTCTCTGACATTTGCTCAGACTGCATAGACTGTATGTGTATGTATATATACATATATGTAGACAGGAAGTGCAGAATATGCTGATGCATCAAAAGCGTTGTTCCCCCTACAGTTCTCCAACACTCACACTCTTTTTCTCTTTCTCTCTCCACAAACTCCCTGAGCCTCCATCATATTACTGACAGGTCTGTCCCAATCGGGGGTGAGCAGATTGAATTGCAAATCTTGTGCCTTCTGTTGCCGTCCGAAGCCGCGCTGGCCCTTTGCAGTTGGCCATTCATGTGGTAATGTGGAGTGTGAGGAGGAGCTGGAGAGGGCTGAGGGGGGCCAAGGGGCCAGCGAGAGTCACACGAGGGGCCACTATAGATTGACATCCAGGGGAAGTAAGCGGCAAACTGAAATAGTGTTTTTGTTTATATTTGAATTTTTGTGTAGGCAATGACGTATAACAGGGTATATGTAGTTCGAAGTACAGAGCATAAACCTAGAACTGTATGGACATTCCTATAAAATAGATGGATGTGCATATTAGCCTGTTGGGATATTAGCCTGTAACATATTTGGAACTAGGCTGGAGAGAAAAGATGGTATGGTGTCGTCTCTTGTTACCTTGATGTGCATAAGAGTTATATGATATTCTCAATACACTCTCCAAAACATTGTTCAAAATTAAATGCATATCATGAGCCACAATGCATAACTGCCATTCAGAATATAAATAAAAGGGAATTACACCAATTTTTCAAAATTTCTGCATAATTCAATCGTTTAGATATAAACAAAGTCATTCAGCGTGGTTTAAGGTAAAATGCATTCTAGAGAAACTTACAGACTCAGATTTCTTTTTCAATTGTGGAGATAGGAGCCACGTGTCACAATGTCTACAATAAATGGACATTTTTTCAAATGATCCAAAATCACCAGTGAATCTACACGTTGTCTGAGTTTTTGCTTTTAATGTTGATGATGGTGAAATAGTGGTAAATCTAAAAAACATTTTGGAGATATTTTGCATTCGAATGCCCTGCATGCACTTCTTTGCCATGAATGCATTAAATAAACAAGTTTTAGGCCAAAACCTTCTCAAAACTATCATAAAACAATATCTCAGGCCTCAAGCAGCATATTCATAACCATTTTGTGTAACATCTTTCTGTGAGGGAGCTTTTAAAAACATGAGATTTCTGGTTCCTATTGTGAGTTTTTGTGACTTGGTAAGGTTCTGTAGAATGGAGCAAATCAAACCACTCTAAATAACTGTTAATAACATCTAAATGATTTAATTTTGTAGAAATTTTGAAAACTCAGTGGAATTCCCCTTTAACAACTTAGACATCAAGATGTGCTCTCTGTTGTTTGACACTAACAGAGGCTGTGTGACACTTGCATGCTAATGAATGATACAGCAGATTTCTGCTGAAAAGGCTGAGATAACGACATACAGCGGGGAATTTTAATAGCACTTGCATGCACTTCATAATCCTACAGATCACAAAAATGGAAAAGCTGATTTGCTCCTAATGTGCAATTTCCAAACATGCACAGTGCATACTGTAGTGCATGGCTGAGAAAAATAGCAGCGTAATGTCTGAGATGTTTCCAGATGTTTGGCTTTGGCATGGCTTTGGCAGACATGTATCAGTGTGTCTGATCCTGATGTTTTCTTTGAGAACTAATTATCATATAAAAATAGCAATGCTGAGTGTTTCAGCATACATTATAGTAACAAATTTCTATAAAATGGAATATATTTTCGATGCTGAAAGGATGTGTGTTGTGCTGGTGTTCTCAGAACAATGGACTGTCCACCACAGAGTCCAGACCTCAACATCAGTTAATGTGTTAGGGAGTACTTGGACCGTGAGAAGCAGTAAATGCAACCAACTTCTAAGACTGAACTGATTTCTTGTAAATAACTTGTACATAATGTACATAATAGCTACATCATGAAATTATATATGTGCATATATGTGTCCATTATGTATCAGTTATGTACATTACATACAAGTTGGAATAATGTTCTTACTTAGATTACAGTTGGTATTTTCCTTCTTCCTTAATTACCATTTTTGAAATGTAATATATGCATGCTAGTAATGAATGGCCTCACAAATTTCACCTTTTTGTGCACAACAACATTTCGAGCTGTATCATGACTGCTACCAGGATACTGCCTTGTGATTCCTTGGTATCGACTCAGAAGGAAAACTGTAGTGATCAGTGACTGAACTCATCCCGTGACCTGCTGAACACGATGACATGTGACAGACAGCTCTGCTGTGTCTTTTTTTCCCCCCTCATCTTGGCTGACGGACCCCGGTCTGTGCCTCTGTGCCCCTGTGTGCCATTCTCTAGAGCTCATACAGTGTACTGGTGTGCCCACTCTGCCAGTGGTGCCAGGAGGCCCTGTCTCTGGCTGGCACACAGCTGCCTGGATGCACAGCTGTGAGAGAAATGAGGCATTCTGTTCTACACACACACACACACACACACACACACACACACACACACACACACACACACGCACTGAGATTGCATCATGGTCTTGCTGCTCCACTCCCCCACCCCAGCCACCATCTTGACTCTGTGAAGTCACAACAGCCTGACACTCAATTCAGGATGCCAGCGCGCATGTTCAGTGCTGAGGTGCTTTCGACAAGAACATGCACACATTTGTGTATTAAAAGAAGTGCAGAGGAACACACTAGCAATGTAGCTCTGCATATATATACGTATGTATGTGTGTATATAAATTCATATATATATATATATATATATATGAATTTCATCCACACTTGTGTGCCTTGCTTGTTTACATGTTAGACATACATGTATCATACAGATAAATGAGAGTTATACGAGTTCAATCCAAGTTCAGTGTCTTTTGGGCAAACGTGACATCTGCCCCATTACACAGTAACTATCCTGATGGCGTGGGGAGGGCCTGTAAGGGACCCCTGTGGACTTTTAAAAAGTCGTATGTAAAAGTTTGAACGCACCCAGAGAAATTATTCTGTTGATTTTGTTAGTGAAAATAAGTATAGACCCTCTGCAGCGAGCAAACCTACATATGGTATTTCTTCTAATTTTAGTGCAAAATTTCAGTGCCTATCAAAGCTGCTGGTTCCCATAAGAATTTTTCCATTTTTGGGTGGAAAATAGAATTACACTAAGCTTGCTGACAGACGTATATCACTTGTTGAGTCATTCAGTATCTGTCTACTGAAACCCGCATTACAAACCTGACATTGCTACCTGAACAAAGGTTCTTGCTGACACAAGAAATAGTATTAGAGTTCATGCCAAATAAATAAAATATACATACTTTTTCAGCAGGGAATTGTGTTATTTAAGTTGCTTGGGCAGTAGTAGGCTACAGTTTGAGTAGCTTATATTAGTATAGTATAGGGTTTAATTGTAGACTTACTTTCATGTAACAAACGTCAGTTCGTTTGCTTGAAGCTTGCATATCTTATTGATATGCATTACATTTGTGGCAAACCCAACAAAACCTTCACAACCTGCAACATGATATATTCATTATTTATCATTTAAAAATCTAAAATACGTACTCTATTGTAAACATTTAGGCTAACGTTAGATGCTAATAGGTGGAATGGCATAACTTGAAAGTACCAGCTTCTTTGGGACATAATATTGAACAAGCAAATTCCATTGTAATTGGTATTGACTGAAAGTCATTTGTATATGGGGGCAGCCTATTTTTTGTGGCCCATACAATCCTAGTTACAGGACTGAAACAGAATTGTTGAGGTCACCGAAATGGCTTTATGTAATCATTCAACCCCATCTGTTTAGAAAGATTAATCCAATGTATTAAAACTTGTGACTACATCAAGCAGCAAGTGAAATGTGAAGCATTCATGTAAGGTCAAGAGCAGGAAGTAAGACAATGGTTGCTCCCATCCTTGTAGGCTAAGGAAGCTGACTGAAGCCTCAGGGTCACTCAACAGTTAGATGTTAGAACCACCTACTGGTTGAAGTGAGGAACTACAGTCAACAAGTAGGTTCATATAAAGTACCCTCAATATTCCAGTTGAGAAACCTTCTAATTTATGGATCAGCTCTGATGCTCTATTACTGCATATAAAAATCAACATTAATAGCATTTTGAGTTTGAGAAGGTGTGAAAGGAGAAATGGGGAGAAAAGTAAGATTAAAGACAAACAAGCTTACTGTATTTTATTTCCTGGAAAAAAGATTGAAAAACATATGACATACTCATATGTACAGCACATAAGAAAGAAGATGCAACCACAGCAACCTAAACCTGTTATCCACCAGAGTCCAGCCACTATTTACATCATACAATAAGCACACATCAATCCGTCTGTACAAGAAAAAGAGAGTCCGAGCAGACATTACAGTCCCAGACCAGCAGGCGTTATTTAAAAACAAACAGTCCAAATGTCTCAGGCCTCTTGTTTTTGCTTGCTATGCAGAGCCCTCTGCTGGCTTGGAGTGGAATTGCATATGGAGCATCTCCAATCCTCAAAACTTCCAGATCTCCACAGCGCTAATTGCTTTTAACGTGTGTGTGCCTCTATAAAAATACCTGAAATAGTGCCTCCAGTAATCAGTTTTCCCTGGTAATGATCTTTGACAGGCTGCCTGTAAATAGTGGCAGCCTGCATATGAGAGCTACTGGTTCCCATGAGAAATAAATAAATTTTTTTCATCATTTTTGGGTGGGAAATAGAATTACACTAAGCTTGCCGTCAGAGGTATATCACTTTGAGTTGTGTCATTCAGTATCTGTCTACTGAAACCTGCATTACAAACTTGACATTGGTACCTGAACAAAGGTTCTTGTTGACGCTGGAAATAGTATTGGAGTTCAAGCCAAATAAATAAAAAGAAAAAGAAAAATAAGGTTAACAGTACTGGTACTGCTCACCAAACTACAGCATGAAGACTGTCACCCAAAAAGGTCCCACATTTACTGTATGGTCATTTGGGGTCAGTGCTAAATCACATTGGCCTACATATAAAACTTAAATTAAATGGGTGGGCGTTTTAAAGGGAAACTCCACCAATTTTCTGCAAGTTTTGTATAATTCAGTCATTGAGATGTAAACAAGGTCATTCAGAGTGGTTTGATGTGAAATTGTTCATTGTAGAGAAACTTACTAACTCAGATTTCTTTACAGTGGTAGTGATAGGAACCAGGGGTCCCCATGACTACAACACAAATATACCTATTTTATTTACTATCCAAAAAGGAACCAGTGAACCTTCATGTATTCTGAGATTTTGTATGTAATGTTGATGACAATAAAATAGTGGTAAAACTGAACCAAAAAGCTTTCTTTCACCTTGTAACACAGTGCATGTAGCTCTCTGCCAAGAATGTATTTTTTAAAATGTAGATTTTAAGCAAAAACCTATGTAAAAAAAATGCATATATATGCATATTTATAACCATTTCATGTAATAAATATTCTGTGATGAAGCTTTTAGAGACATTAAAGTCCTCAGATGTCTGGTCCTATCACCACCCCTGTAAACAATTCTGTACATTTCCCTAGAATTAAACATTTGACACCAAACCACTCTGAATGACTTTGTTTACATCTTAATGATTTCACTATACAGAAATTTTGACAACTTAGTGGTATTCCCCTTTAAAGGAAACGTCTAAAATATAAAGCAAATGGATTTTATCCAGACTGACACTGTGTTATACACATTCAGATTCATGAATGTCAACTTATGTCAGCAAATCATTGAAGTTTTCTTTGCCACACATACAGTAAAATATCATGGAGTTTGCCCACTCTCTCTCTCTCTCTTGTCTCTCTCTCTCTCTCTCTCTCACACACACACACTCTCATGCACACACAGAATTAAGTAAATAAAGCATGATCTAACATACATATTCAGTCCAAAAAAAGCATGTAATGTCCAAAATGCACATCAAATCCAAACTACTCACAGCTTTTCTCCTGTCTTCACTCTCAGTAAAGCCATCACAGAATTAAAGGGGCAATGTGTAGCACTTCAGTGTGATTTTTTGACTATCAATGCACTCTTCAGAATGGTTCTCCAAGGGTTCTTTAGTAAAGAATGGTTTTATATAGAACCATGAATGCTCAGAGAACCCTTTGCATGATTAAAGGGTTCTCTGCATCATTAAACTGAGTGTTCATGGCTCTTTATAGAACCATTTTCTTTACTAAAGAAACCTTGAAGAACCCTCATTTTTAGGTGTGTGGCTCTTTGCTGGTCACATAAGCTAGCTAACAGGAACCAAGATCTTTAGCTCCAAAAAGAAACCCACACTCTTAAAAATAAAGCCACCATAAAAGGGTTCTTTGGTTCTAAAACGAAGCCTTTGGTTCACCAAATCAGTGGTTCTCAATCTGCTCCTCAAGGACCCCAGACGGTTCTTATTTTTGCTCTCTCCTCATGTGTCGAGAGTTGGGATTGAGCAAAGATGTGTGTTCGAGAACCTCTGCCCTGAAGAACTTTCTTTAAAGGACCTCACCTGTGAATGAGATGTGTGAGTCTGACTTTGCATATAATGTAAAAGTTATAGACCCATATCATAAAAAAAAACAAAACTGTCCTTATCATGTAAAACGAAACTAGGCTGCAAACAGCTGCCTGCTTTGACTTTACTGTTTTATGAGGTCATGAAAACCAAAGCAGTTTCATACATTCAGCCTACAGCAATTTAGCCTCACATATTTAGGAGTATTTCAGCCTGGACTGCTTTCTGAATGAGGCACAATGCAGGGCAGCCAATCAGAACAGAGGTTATTTACATATATCAGTCTTAAAGGCATAGCAACAAAAACAGCCTGTTTAATGTTAAGGGATAAAGAACGGTTGAAATATGATTGTGTAAAATGAATTACATTTGTCAATGATACACTAATAAACATTGAGTGTGTTTACATGCACTTAATAATCCGATAACTGCAGAAAATTAGATTTTGTAAGTAATCCGATCAGCGCATTTACATGCCTTCAGTAATCAGATAATGTAAAACCCCAGGTCTACATGAATCTGGCACTAATCAGATTTTTGCATTTCATCCATCTAGAAGATGAAGCATATTTAAATCCTTCTTCAAGCATGTAGTTGGTTTCAGCATCACTCTAAAAGTGTTTTGCTGCCATCTCGCAGCACCGCTGCTTGCTTATTTCCGATACCACCGTCTGTTTTGCGCTTGCACAGGACTGAGAAATCTGAAAGGAATCAGAATAAAAGTTTACATGCACTGAGAAATCTGATTACTAAGATAAAATCCAGCCCTTTTATCGGATTTCTTAATAGGATTTCTAGACCTTACTCTGATCTAAGAATGATGAGTATGTTGTTACATGACCATTTGAATAATCAGATAACTGCAGAAATCAGATTGTGATCGGATTATTGAGGGAATGTAAACGCACCCAAAGATAATACATATAAATAATAACAATAATAATAAAGTATGAGAAAAATGTAGGATATGGGCCCTTCACATGACTTTCTTAAAACTGCTCATGCAATCCAAGAACCAAAGAGGAAGGTTTATTTTTAAAGGTGTGCTTCCACATTAATACACCACTGTGTTCCTACTGCAGCATTACTTCACTGATTTTTGATCAAACTGTCACACAGGTTGCTACACACTGCCCTTTAAATGCAGAAATGAAAATAGAAACATAATCATTATAAAACATAAAAAAGTAAGACTTTTTTTCTTGTCTAGCAAGTGTCTGTTTGGGTTATTGAGATTTGGCAACATACATTCAAACATTTGATACGTGAGCGAGTGTCCTAGCTCGGAACAGTGACGGTGTGATGACCATGCAGTCTGAAATCACACAAAATCTTGAAGATGGTTGAAGCACTTGTTTTTTTTTCCTCATCCTCCTCTTTCCTGAAGTGAGAGAAGGTGATTTGGCTTCAGACTTTTAAAAAAATGCACTCCAGCTGTAGTTCTCAGCTGTCCTGTGGGGGGGCAGGGTGCAGTCATGCCTGGATAAAGTCCGCCCTCTTTTGTGCCTTTTAGTTTTTTTGGGATTTAACGTGAACCTCCTGTGTCTCCGTCCTCCCCTGTGTCCTTATAATGGTCTCTCCCAGGTTTGGGGTAACAGTGAGGTGATGGATCGTACCATACATGGATGGGGGGGGTGCTATAACTCGCTGTGGCGTACAGGAGGCTCCAGCTTGTGAGAGAGGGCTGTGAGGACTTTGTCAAACTTCTCGTAGCGCTCGGCCTGGCTGCCCTCCGAGCCTCTGCTGCCCCAGAGCAGCCTCATCTGGAACTCGGTACAGAAAATCTCTAGCACCTCTTCCCTCTCCTGGAAGTCTGTATACATGAGAAACAGAGATTTCAGAGTGATGTGGACTGGGCCTACAAAACTCACTGTCACTGAGCACAGTTGCCAGCAAAGTCACCATAGCTGTGCTAAGGTACGCACTGTGCTTAAAGATGGTTCTTTGGAGTGATGCTTTTGGTTCGCCAAAAGAACACTTTTTTAAAGACAATATATGTAAATAAATGTGTGAGTGTGGAGTTTAAAGAACCTCCATGTAATGTAAAGTTTCTATACCAGTAAAAGAGCTCATATAATGGAAGCTAAATAAAAGTGTTTGATGTAGTATGTGTACAATACTGCTTATTCCTCATGTTATACAGCTGTATGCAAATGTTTTGGCATCCCGGTACACTTTGTTAATGTCCTGAGTGAAAATAAATTAACACATCCGCTTTACTGTTAGAAATAAAGGTTCTGTGCAGGTACATTTTTCATTCATCAAGGTATAAACAATGTAAATGTGCCCTTGAAAGTACAACAGTGGTTTTAAGGTCCAATTGTGTACCTTAAATAAGTTTTTCCAGGTGAAAAGTACATATTTGTACATAACCTGATTTAGAACAGAACAATAAAATGAAAAGCCTGGAGACGAGACGGGGTGTGGAGTCAATACAGCTTAGAAAATATGATTTATATCAATTATGGTACAGTTATGTTCCCTGACTAAAGGTACTGAGATGTACCCTTGTAAGTGTACAGAGAACACTGCACATTTTATTGCACAATTACTGTTTATTTTCTGAATTTAACATATTTGATATAGACAATATATATAAAATATGGCCTGTGTGAAAGATATGGCATGCTTTGTATGGTGTGTTTTATTTTTTTCCAATATGTTTAGCAAATACATAGAAATTGTACACTAACATTTTCAGAAAAATGCATTTTTTAAGCTTATTCCCTGTGGGGGAAACTTATTTTCACGTATGAATATTACACGTACCCTGTAGCTTGCTCTCAGCGTTGGTGCGGTACAGGCCCCCATGGTGTGCAATGCTGCGTGCGGCTTCTAGGTGGCTCATGACCACATCCACTCCACACTCAGAGCTCTCCCAGGGCTCAAGCCCCTCCCCCACGGCCACACCCCTCTCCAGCAGAGACAGCAATGGAACAACATGGGGGAAACAGGTACTGGACAGGACAGAACTCTCTGCCACACACATACAAAACACATACAAACACATACAAAACCAGATCGTTAGAGTTACCCTAAAGGAACTGCCATTGTCCAAAAATGCTAATGTTGCTGATTATTGTTTAGCACTATGCCATTTACATTCTGCTATTGATGGCTTTGAGTTCATTATTAGCCATGCTTGCCTGTGTTTGACCATGCCTTTACTGTAAGTGACCGTCCTCACCTTTTCCTTCATTCATGGCTTTCATGAAGGGTTTGAGCTTCTTCTCGTACAGTATGGCTCCCTCTGTGTGTCTCTGTCTCAGCGTCATCCACGTTTGCTCCAGCCGTGCGATCTGAAAAACCCAGCACACAAAACAATCAGACATCCAGGGAATCATACTAGAGACACTTCTAATGAAGTACACTCTTAAAAAGATGGTTCTTGAAGAGTTCCTTAGTAAAGACATAAGTTCTATATAGAACGCTTTCATGCTTTAATTGTTCTTTGCATGGTGAAAACATTGTTCAGATTGATGTGTTGTATATTGTTCTATATAGAAGCTTTATAAAAAAGGGTTCTATATAGCACCCAAAAAGGTTCTTCTATTGTGACAATGTCAGGCTTGTTACAATTGAAGAACTCTTTTTGGTGCTATATAGAACCTTTTTCATTAAGCTTCTAAATAGAACCATCTAGAATACATTCTCTATCAATCTGAAGAAAGCTTTCATGATGCAAAGAACCATTTAATCATGCAAAGGGTTCTTTGAGTGTTCAGGGTTCTATATAGAGCCATTTTCTTTACTAAAGAACCCTAGAAGAACCATCATTTTTATGTGTAGAAACACAAAAGCCATTTACAAAATTGTGCCTTATTCACTACACACTCATAAAAAGATGGTTCTTCAGGGGTGCTTTAGTAAAGACAGTGGTTCTATATAGAACCATGAGCACTTAAAGAACCATTCGCACGATTAATTGGTTCTTTGCATGGTGAAATTGTTCTTTAGATTGATGGAGAATATGTTGCATATGGTTCTGTACAGAACCTTTTTGAAAAATGGTTCTATTTAACACCAAAAACGGTTAAAAGGTTATAAGCTTTTTAAAAAGGTTCTATACAGAACCATCTTTTTAAGAGTGTATATAAAGTGCCATTTTAGGAGGCAAGCAGTTTGCAGTGGTGTCCAAGAACACAATGGCAAGTATCTAAAGCCCTCTTACAAGCCTACAAAGCACTGCATGGGTAGATGTACCCCAGCAGATAGTGAGTGCGTTTCCATGCCCTCAATAATCCGATCATTATCAGATTTCTGCAGTTATCTGCTTATTCAAATGCTCACGTTAACAGAATACTCTGATTTCTTAGATCTCTCACCTGTGGTAATTCTAGGGCCCTCATGATGGCAGCAAAGCCAAACATGTTTCCCATGGTGCTCTTGAGCTCGGCAGCCAGTTGGATGGTTTTATACAGCAGGGCGGCTCTCTCTTCTGTACTCCCCGTACAGCCCAGCAGGTCAACGGCCATCATTATTGACATGGTGTAAAACCTGCAGAAAGAAAGGAATATTATGTATAAACATCCTGTGATGGTGTAAACTGTGTTGTTGTGGTTTGTTGTTGTCATGTGATTGTCTGTGAAAGTCTCCCCATCCAAAGTAGCCACTGTGATGCAGAACTAACTTCAGAGAAACTTGGCAATAAAGTGAATCATACTCTATCATATTGTGTCATATTGTATCGTATCTATGTATCTTCACTGTCCAAACAAAACTTCTATCTGCAAAATGACAACTTTCTTAGGAGAAGGAGAAAATGTCCTCCATTTTTAATGTAAGCTCATATAATTGGCAGCTGGCATTAAATGACGGAGATTAATTTGACAGTGACAATACTAAAGGTGGAAGAAAATATCAATACAGTATTATATAGAACAGTACTGATACGCAGAGGCCAAAGTATTGATATTTTATTTTATTTTATTAACTTTTTTGAATATCTATGAAGCCCATCAATAGACCAATGCTGGGGTTCTCAATCCCAATCCTGGCGACCCCACATCATCTAGCACACCTGATTCGACACATTATCTAATTAACAGGCTCCTAACAGATCTAATTAACAAATTCGTTAAGAACATCGGGTCGCCAGCACAGTGACGCCCCCAGAAATGTTTTATAGGGGTGAGCAGATGGGGCCACTGAAAATCTTGTTGTGAATTTCAAGAACTCTAATTTGCTGTTGTAGTATATAGACTAGTTGAGAATTATGCCAATTTGAGAGTTAAGGGGTTGCAAACTGATACACTGTTTCCTTATTTTACAGTTAATGGTACTAATTATCTGATGTACAAGGGCTGCCACAATTGCCCAAAAATAATGTTCGATTATTTCTTCTGGTTCAAACTAATATTCCAGTAACAATTTTTGCCCATTTTGTCTCTAATAGGGCAAACCAATACAACAAGAGTGTTGTATTGTTCCCCCTCAAATTCACATTCCTCTTCATGAATCAAGTCCCCAGGAGCCACATTCACTGAGAAGAAATCGGTGTCAAACAACACTGCAGTTAAAGAAAGTAAAAAAGTTTCAAGAAAGGTGTAAATCTTCACAAGACAGACAGCTGCAGTAATGCTGCTTTTTTCACAATCAAGTGTTAATTTTCATAATCAAATGTCTGTTTTTTTTACTATTCAAAAACATAACTGAATTTAGAACATTCATTGACAGCCCTACTGCTTAAAGTAGCCTAATATATCAGATAGAAGCATATTTTGCAGCATTTTATGCATATGCGACTCACTGGGGGGCCACTGCAGGGGCCAGTGATTGTATCAAGTTGGCTGTGGCCCCTCTTGGCCCCCCTTGACAGTGCTATTGCACCAAAACTGACACTGGGACTAAAAGTTTACCAAAATACATTTCTGTCTTAATCCACAAGATGGTGTTATTTCTTTCAGTTGAGTCCAAGGCTCATGTTAGTGGAGTGATCGTTCAGAACAGTTAGACTGAATTACACTTTCACCCCCCCAACATGGGAGAATGGGCTAGTATACCAATGGGGTTCAGGCTGGAATCAAAAGCTCCACTATAATATACTCATTAAAGTGATTGGGAGAATCCCCTAACAATACATTCACCAAACACTGTAAACTGCTCTGAATAATAGCATTGGTTAGGATGTAAGGACTATAAGGACAAAGCTTGTTAATGTTCACAGATATCTGCTAAATATGTACATGTAAGGACAGTTTATGTAAAAGGTATTTTGTCTACTTCATCTACTTTCCATTAAAAAAACAAGAACACAGAGTGTTATTAATGTGAGGCACTGCTCTTATTAAGCATCACAAACAATTTGACTGCTCATAGAGAGTCTTCAGCCTGCTAAACTTGAGTGAGTCACAAGCCATTTCCATGAGGTGCTTCACATTTGAAAAGATTTTCTTTTGGAGCAATAATTCACAGTAACCCACAAAATATCGCAAGATGTCAAATCACAATACTTAGAATGCCAAAAATCAGGTCGCAGTAGAATTATATTGTGGCTTAAGTATCGCATTGTTGGACCTGTAGCGGTGCATACAAATGTATATTTATATATGTATGTAGAAAGGAGGGAGATGAAAAAAAGAAACAGCATGAAGAAAGTTCACTCTAGAATCCTAAATAAATCCATACTCCTGCACTTCTAATTGCTCCTCTTTAGCCAGAGGAAATGTTAGCAGGTGTCCAGCAGAACGCTAGTGAGCTAAATGCTAAAGTGGCACAGATGGCCATCAGGTCAGTTCACAGCAGTACATCTAAGACGTTCTCTGGCTAAAGAAGTTGAAGAAGCCTGCAGAGGGACAGAACGTCCAGAAATAAAGTGATTTTACTGTGTACAAGAGTGTGTTAATTACATAAGTCAAAATAAGTTAACACACCCCCTACAGACAACACACTTCTGCACACTTCAATGCACAATTACTCTGCTTATTTATTAGCTTAATTTAACATCCTGGAGAAAAAAAAACATTATGACATATTATATATTTTGTTTTTTTCCAACATGTTAAACTCAGCAAATAAACAGAAATTGTCATATTTCAGTTTGATTTAGAAAATCAACAATACAGGTAATCTGATTGGCATGTTCAGTGTTTTGCACACAATTGTAAACATAGTATATTTGCCAAGGTTTCTGAGAGCTTATGAAGGTGACTATATATAAAAAATCAGTTTGTGTGCATGTGAATCTGTTTCCATATATGCTTGTGGGTGAGTGTGTGTATACATCTATAGAAGTGTTCAAAAGTTTAGAATCACTCGGCATATTAACAATTGCTGATATTTCATTCTGTTTTAAATTATACAGTGTATTTTAAATGGTTTTATTGAATATTTAAAGTATTTATGGAACAGCAAGAAGTTAAGTAGTTTCACATTAACACAATTCTTGCCAAAAGAAGCAAATTTATTTGCTTAATTAGCTTATTTAGAACTAGAAAAGCAACAAAACATCATTTGACCGTCGGTGACCAAACATTTGCACAAATCTGTATGTGTATCTCTGTGTGTGTTTGTAGATGAGGCTTGTGTTTGTGAATATGGCATCACCGTCTCGCTGTCTAAGAATGCTAAAGTTGCTAAAGCATGTTAAAAGAATACACCAGTACTTTTCAGCTAAGTCTCTTGTTGCATTTGTAGCGTATGGTTGATTACTATGGACAATAATTTGATTTCCATACACTTGGAAAGGAACAGAAAACTGACTGACTAAAATATATGTATAATAGAAGGTAAAGGTATTTCAGCACCTGCCAAATGGGATATATTATAAACGTGTTTTGAGTTAGCAGCATTTCACTTCTTTTGTAAGTACAGGGAAATGTGCCAAATGTATTTTCTATGGTAATCGACCATATGCTACAGAGGCAGCAGACAGAGACTTGGTTGAAAAACGCTTAGTATTCCTTTAATGCTAACACTGACAGTACTGTATGCACATGCATGCCTCTCTGTATGGGTTCGAATGCATGTGATTGTGCATCTGTGAGCGTGCATGTACGTGTGTTTGTTTCACCTCTCGAGCAGATCCAGTCTCAGCTGATGGCCATGTGGCAGAGTCAGCAACTCCAGCCCCGAGCCCACTCCCATCATCCTCTGCATCTCCTTGGTAACGCCCAGTATCCTAGCAACCTGCAGATGGCCACATGGTTAGCGGAGAAATATTTCCCCTCTCGCTTTCTTTTCAAATGTATTCACACTCAGGACTAAAGACATTTAATTAGTCCTTAATTCAGGCCTTATCAAATAATGACAGTGTTAAATGGTGAATTGGATGGAGCGGGAGCGTGGATTCTTTCTGAGCGCAGCGGAGATGTTAATTGGACCAGACTGAACATCTGTAAGCCTGCTGAAGACTGAGGTATTACAGTCATTGCCCACTGAGGTATGAGGTAAAGGGGAATTCCACTAATTTCTGAAAATTTCTGCATAATTCAGTGGTTTGGAGTGAAATGGTTCATAACTTTGTTTATCAATAAAAAATTGTTTTTGTATTATTTCTCTTTCCAATTTCATATATTTACAACTTGTGTCCCTTTAGTTTTCCTGACATGCCCATAATTGTATTATTTTTTCACAAAATACAAAAATCTCTATTATATTTACTTTGTAAAATGATCAAGAAACCAATACATTTCTTCAGAGTTTTTACATGCAGTTTTGATAATGGTAAAGTAGTGGTAACTTTACAAAGAAAATTGTGGGGTGGGGACTATTTCTTTGAGGACCTTACAACACCCTACATGTACCTCTCTGCCCTGCATGTGCTTTTAAAAATCTGTTTTAGTCCGAAACCTTATCTCAAAACTACTGTAAAGTGGCTTACAGCTTATTCTCCTCCTTCAGAATAATACATCATGATGCACTGATGGACCTTTACACCCTCTTATACACACTAAATATTTTCAAGTCTGTTTTATTTTGAGTGTCTTACCGTGCAGTCGACCTTCGTGATGTGTTTAGCCGCCGTTTTGGGGTCCACCTCTGCCAGCAGCTCCTTCACCCTCTTTAACACCCCCATCTCCAAGGGTTTGTTCTCAGATGGAAGCAGTGCGGACTGGTACTTGCCCGGCCTGAAGGAGGACATGGTCTCCACCAGTGGGAGCGTGAAGCCCTCTCCACTGTCTGGAGGGGTGGAACCTGGAGGTCTGCACTCCTCCACTCTCAGCCTCTCCACATAGCTCTTACAGGGCGGGGTTGGGGGTGGGCCAGGGCGGAGCTCACAATAACTACCCCCCACCTCTGAGCCGTCTGAGGGGTAACTGTGGGCGGGTGTAGACTGGGCGTGGGCAGGGGGCGTGTCTGAGCAGGGCAGGTTGTTGTTAGAGGAGGACGGGGAAAGGTGGGGCTCACTGGAGCGACGCATCACTGGGGAGGGCGGGATTACAGCTAAGACACGCCCACCTGAGCCATGTCTGTGACGAGAAACTGAAGACGGAGAGAGGAAAAGGAGAGAGAGAGAGATTTTAAAGACCCTTTATTTACTAATCATTTAGGAAGAACAGTACGGATTTATTTTAAAGAAGCGTATAACATTATGACTCATGACCTCAAGTGTTCTATGGCTTTAGTACATCAGTTTTGCAAAGTAAAGAAAAAAGTCCCCAAATATGTTTTTAGGTATTTAATATGTTTTTAATGTGTAAATTCTTCCACCAATTCCAAAAGTACTTTCATCAGCATAAAGCATTGTTATTACTACGACACTGAAATAATGCAGCTTTGATGTAATTAAAATTAGGTATGTTAGATACGTGAAGAACAGCTTTCGACCAATCAGATTGCATCTATGTCCTTCCCTTTAAGACACCAATCTGAAAGAGTTGATCATTACTTGTTCTAATAAAACAGTGGGGGGGGGGAGAAGGAGACACAGTGAGAAAAAGAGAGAGAGAAAAAGAAAGACTAGAGAGCAAGGAAAATATTAGAAAGAAAGAAAGAAAGAAAGAAAGGAGCAAGGAAACAAGCAGAAATGAAGGAAGAAGGGAGAAAAAAGACAGTGATATGAGAGAGAGAGAGATGTGAGGAGTAGAAAGAATTGACAGAGAGAGAGATAGAAGTGAGAAGTGGAAAGAGAGAGAGCAAGGAAGAATGTAAACAGAAAGAAAAAGGAGAGAAAGAAAGAAAGAAAAAGAGAAGAGAGCAAGAAAGAAAAAAGGAAAAAAGTAGAAAGGAGAGAGAGATTGCAATAAAAGAGAGAAAGAAAGAGGTCGGAGTGTTTGATATTGACAAAGTAGAAAGAAGAGAAGGGAGTATAAAAAGAGAGAGAAAGAAATAACAGGAAAAAAACAGAGAGAGAAAGATAAATAAGAAAGGAGAGAATTAAAGAGAATGGGAGTGATGAGAAGTGACAGAGACGGAGGGGGAGAGAGAGATGAAGGGGGAATCACTAATTACCTCATCAATATTAATCAGAATTTCCGCGCTTTCTGTGTCTAATGAGTTGTGCAATCTCTGTAATCTGTAGATAAATGAAGGCCAGCTGTGTCACTGTGCTGTGTGTGTGTATGCGAGTACTCACTGGAGCTGTACGCAGGTGACAGAGGGGTTTCCCCCACAGGGCTAAGGGGGCAGCGGAATTCCTGTATCTGATCCATGCTGAGAGCGCAGTTCCTCATGGCATCCTTATGGTGAACAGTGGAGGGGCTGCAAGGAGCACACACACACAGACACACAGCCTTTAAAATACAGCACAATACATACACTGTCCACTGACTCGAAATTAAAAAAAAGTTCAAAAGCTTGGAATCATCACATTTTCAATCATATAAAACCAATTTGGTTGCAGAAATGTGTGTTAAATGATTTAGTAACATTTTACTTAAAGGCAGCACTCATAAAACTACACGACACCTACATAAGCTTTTCATGACAACTTACATAAACCTACCTAAAGGCTTATTTCAACAAGCAGTGGTTTTAAGGGTGTTTTTACCCCTTTCAGTGTCTTTTATAAAGGCATATTCCAACAAGCAGTTGTTATAAGGATGTTTTTATCCCTTTCAATGTCATTTATAAAGGCTTATTCCAACAAGCAGTTGTTATAAGGGTGTTTGGTAACACTTTCTATGAATGTCACCTTTGTAAGCATCTATAAACACATTCATAACATGTTATAATGCATTCATAAGACATTATAAACGTAGCTATAAATATTTATAAAAATGCATTATACATTATAACCATGCTTATTATGCATTATGAATTGTTAACATAATACATTATAAGTACTGATCATAACAAATTATAAGAGCTCATAAGTCGTATTTGTCCGCTCTAAGTGAAGCATACTGTACTAAAGCCTCCTCCAGTGTTAAGAGTGAGGCTTCAAGCTGACGTATTCACTGAAGAATTTACTGAAACAGTAAAACATACACAATAAAACACATTACAGGCTTCAAATGTCAGTGTTTAAACTATTGCTGCCATCAGTGTTTTACCCAATGTGGGAAAGTCAATGTACACCACCGTTAGCTTGGTATTTGTCTTTATGCTCTCCAAGCTGGGACTGACTTCTTTGGCATTATTATAACATGTTATTAACACTACTTATAATGCATTATATAAACAATTCATAATGTATAATAAACATGGCTATAAAGTGTAATTCAGTGTAATTCTTTTTTATAAATATTTATAACCATGTTTATAATGCCTTATGAATACATTATAACATGTTATAAATGTGTTTATAGATGCTTACAAATGCGACATTCATAGAAAGTGTTACCGGGTGTTTTTATTCCTTTCAATGTCATTTATAAAGGCTTATTCCAACAGGCAGTTGTTATAAGGGTGTTTTTATCAATTTCAATGTCATTTATAATGGCTTATTCCAACAAGCAGTTGTTTTAAGCATGTTTCGATCTATGTCAATGCCATTTATAAAGGATTATGCCAGAACAGAGGTCTTAAAGGCACAGTAACAAAATTGCCCTATATAGTTCTAAGGGATTAAGAGAGGTTGGAAAATGGTTGTGTAAAAATAAATGAAAATGTCTGTTTTTGGTACATAAACCCACACAAATGACATGGGCTCTTTAATAATCATTGAACAAAACTCCTAAAGTTTTTATTTCATGTAAAATGCCCAGAAGTATTAATATGATAGGTGATTCCAAAGTTTTGAATGGTAATGCATATAGTCAAATACAGTTCACAAAAGGGTGCAGCTACAACTAGCACATCACAAAACTAATTGAACTAGTGTTTCTATTAGAAAATGACTAAAAAACAAAACTGCAGTCTCAGTAGACATATTCAGTGCCCAGTGGAGGAAGCATTGCATGCTGGGACTTGAAGTGCAAAACAACCACTGTGGAGAAAAAAGTGTGAGGCAGTGAAACAGAGGGATTAGTGAGAATGAGGGGTCTGTGCTACAACACACACACACACACACACACACCAGCTGCATCCCTGCTCCGTCCTCACTTCAGTCTCTGACACCAGAGGCTCAGCTGGTTCTGTCGGCGCATCACCACTGATAATGTAATAATGAGCAGTTAGACTCCTTTCCACTATTGTAACAATAAGTCCAAGTTTAGTCCAAGATTTATGCAGCAAACATAGATCACATAAAACCCCATTTCCAAAAAAGTTGTGATGCTGTGCAAAATGTATAGGTATAAAAGAGCATCCCAGAGAGGATGAGTCTTTCAGAAGTAAAAGTGAGGAGGGACTCACTACTCTGTGAAAGATTAATGTTTCTCAACATAAAATAGCAAAAAAACTGGAGATTTCCTCATATACAGTATATAATATCCAGCTTGTTATCAGCACACAGTTCAAAAGCCAGCCTCTGTGATGGTAGGGTAGTGCATTAGTGCACATCTGTGAAGGAACCATTAATGCTGAACAATACATACAGGTTTTGGAGCAACATGTGCTTTTGCAGTGAAGGCCATGCTTATTTCAAAAAGACAATGCCAACATTCTGCATGTATTACAGCAGCACGGCTCCGTAGTAAAAAGGTCCGGGTGCTAATCTGGCCTGCCTGCAGTTCCCAAACACTTGCAGAGTGTTGTTAAAAGAAGGGGTGATGCAGCACAGTGGTAAACATGCTTCTGTCCCAACTTATTTGGAATGTGTTGCTGGCATCACAATCAAAATGGTCATATATTTTTCAAAAACAGTAAAATTGCTCAGTTTCAATAGTTGATGTCTTTTAGTATGTTCAGTTAAATATTAGGTTTAAAGGATTTACACACTGTTGCATTCTGTTGTTATTTACATTTTGCACAGCAGCCCAACGTTTTTGGAAATAGGGTTGTAAAAGGCTCCAAAAAATGCATATTGCTACAATTAACCTGGCTGGTAATCCGACTGGTATTCAGGTTTTAGACAATCTTTAACGGTTTGACATTCAGTGCATTATCATGATAACCGTCAACATCTTTATCACCAAATAGTTTAAAATTGGCAACGAAACATCATGAAATATGGACATAAATTAGACAGTGATCAGTAATCAGTAAGTAGTCCTTCCATCATCATCATAAGCAAAGCCAGAACATACAGAGCCAACATTCCCCAAGAAACATCAACAAACCCAAATGTCAGGTTGATGTGAAATACCTGTATTTGACCACTGGGATATTTTTTAAATGAAATAGTCCATTCGTGCTGTTGTAGAACGCTCTACCTCATTCACACTGTTTTAGTATGAGTTCTCATTCACATTGTTCTACAATGTTCTCCTTCATTTCTGCTAGAAAACCAGCAAAGACCTTCATAGATGGTCACCAGTAAAAGCAGCATTTGCTGTGTTTTGGATGCCGGTATGCTGGACAACCAAGCTAAACCAGCAACACACCAGCATAAACCAGCACAGTGCGGCTTAGACCAGCATTACATTCATGCTCTTCTATGCTGTTTTTTTGAGCAGAGATTCCACAAAGCTTTGCAATGTCTGACCCTATTCACACTGTTCTAGAGTGTTGTTTCTCATGCACAATGTTCTAGAATGCCCTCCCCATTCACACTGCTCTAGAATGTTCTCCTCATTCACACTGCTATGGAATGTGCTCCCCATTGACACTGCTCTAGAATATTTTCCCCATTGACACTGTTCCAGAATGTTCTCTCCATTCACACCACTCTCCTTCCTTCACAATAGTCCAGGAAGGTCTCCACTATTTACAGTGTTCTATAATGTTCAAGACCATTCATGCTGTTCTACAAAAAAAAATGTTTCTCTTCCATTCACACTGTTCTACAATGTTCTCCCTCATTCACACTGTTCTACAATGTTCTCCCTCATTCACACTGTTCTACAATGTTCTACTCTATGCACACAGGTTTATTTGGCTTGTCTGTTCTTATTCTGGAACAGTATAAAGTAGACAGCCTATATTATGGCGTAAGTGTTTGATGAGGAATGTTGGGTAAGTGTGTACTGGGCTTACGACTGTGTAATCATCATGATTATCATCTCTCACCTGTGTGGTATGATCTTCTCTGTGGTCAGTCCATCGGTCATGGTGACACTGCGTCTTTTGATGTGCGCCCCCCTGGGGCTAGAGGGTGAATGTGCAGATCCTGACCTGCCGCTGGCCAGAGCAAAAGTGGCCTCCAGGTACCTGAGGGGCAGCGTACGGTTCACCGGGCAAAGCAGCTGGGCGCTGGTGCGCGGGCACACGGGCCGGCCGGTGCCAGCATGGTGCCGGACCAGTGTGGGCACCGAGTCAAACGGCTCGTGCTCCAGGAGATACTGGACCCGCGTTTGTCCACTTTTCACCAGGACCTTACTGATACGACAGTGGACCACTTCCTGCTGCCAACGGCAGGTGATCACATAATCACCCATGTTGGCCAGAGAGTCGCGCACCAGGAAATCTCCACTCCGCAACACCAGCGTCTCAGACACCTGCATACAAACATGCACAGACACAAAAAGAGGGTAGCAAAATCACGTCAGTGTCACTGCAGTGCTCAGAATGATCCACCACCCAAATAATACCTGGTCTGTAGTGGTCCTGTGGGAGTCCTGACCACTGATGAACAGGGTGAAAGGGGGCTAACAAAGTATGCAGAGAAACAGATGGACTACAGTCTGTAATTGTAGAGCTACAAGAGAAGTGTGCATGCCCAAGGAAGAAGAAAACAATGGAAAACAAAAGAAATCCAAACAGAAGAGAAAAGTTTAACCACTAAAATGAACAATGTGAGAAAGACTGACTGAAGAAGCACAAAAAGGGAAAACAAACACAAAAACAACAAAGTTCCAAACCACAAAGACACGGCAACATCCAACAATAAACAGCAGGGAAACAGAGAAAAAAAACATATATATCACAGGTGAGTCTGATGACAAGGGGGCGGAGTTAGGGAAACAAAGCTAAGAGAGAGTGCAGAGCCTGTTAAGGGGAACTATGGCTTGAATGTGAAGTTACTATTTTGGAGATACTTGTTTTTCTTTGGATAGCGACGTTACAGTATGTCACAGATTATTGGTTTTGAAAATGTACTGGTGGATACTGGACACACGTACGTGCCCGTTCCAAATGAAATCTTTAACCTAAAGAGAATTTCCTGACTAGATAAAGCCTAAAATGCATATTTGTATAAGTGCATTTTTGAATATATATATGTATCTCCATTTTTGTTGAAAATTTTATGATGATTAGACCAATAGAAATGCTCCCAAATCACTTGGAATAAAACCTCTTTACAATAACTTACATTAAAAGGTAAGAGTATTTTTGCCTCTCCTGTAAACTTACTATTTTGGAGATACTTGTTTTTCTTTTGACAGTGACAATATGCATTTTTGCATTATGTGCATTTATAAATACATATTTATGTGCATTTTTGAATAATATATCTTTATATATGCATTTTCAAATGATTAATCTGTTCATATCCATTTTTATGTTTTATGTGTCTCTATACATTGCTACATTATTTTACAGAATTTGAAAATGCCGGCTGCACTTTGTAATGTATAAAATTGAATGTAAGTCTTTTTTATAAAAAATACCTATATATATATATATATATATATATATATATATATATATATATATATATATATGCATCTGAATAAATGTATGTGTATTTTATTTATAAAGTATTTTATTACATAGTCAGTATCATACATCACATATGCAACCAAAGCATGCCTTGTCTCTATCTGCCACCAGATGGCGCTCGGTGTATGTGTGTGCAGCACTGCCTAGGTCACTACTTGGTGTCCCATCTGCATGAGGAGCAGATAAAGTTTTAATAGGATAGGGTGTGGAGATCCCTCAGTGCTCCAGAAACAAATGCATTACACTAAAGCACAGATGGCTGAAGTCTCACTACAGACAGCGTAGGCAGCTATCATAGTAAGCTACACTAAAAATGATACAATAATATTTCTACACCCCCACACACACATAGAGAAACACACACTAATTATATTACTATAATTGACGTTAGTGTAGCCATATTAAACCAAAGTGTGATCTATACACATACAGTGCACACATACAGGTTAATACAGGTATTTATTTATGCAGTGTTTTTGTTCAACCATTCCCAAATCTCTCCTTGACAATGCCCAGTATTATTTGTAGTTATTGTCAAAAACCTTGTTTGGCTCAATCAGTCCTTCTTACACTCATACCTATGCAAATATCTCATACCTATATACATATATACACATACATACATGGATATGCACAACCACACAAACACACACCTCTCGTGGGATGTGGCCATGGTACCAGCCGTGGCTCCTCATGTCACTGCTGCTGAGTTTGAGCTCCTCCTCCAGTTCCTTCCGCAGCTTCTCCGGTGGAGACTCCAGCAGGTACTTCTCCTTGGAGAACTGAGCAGACACAGAAAGAGATATGAGCTGCACTCATACAAACACAGCCATCGTTCTAATACATCACATTCTAAGACTTGATTAAGAGAAGAGAAGAGAAGAAAAGAGAAAAGAGAAAAGAAGAGAAGAGAAGAGAAGAGGACATGATAGAAGAGAAGAAACAAATGCACAAACACCGCCAATGAAAACAAGGTAGCAAAGAAGAATATAACTGAAAATGTAAATGTTTAATTAAATATGTAATTACATTTGAACAGCTTAGTAAAACAAAAGAAATAACTTTAAGGATTAATTCCTTCACACATTTGTCAGCAAAGTGAGAAACTGATGAGCCAGGCACTTTGTCATCACAGCCAGAGACTCATCTCTGTTCACCTAAACCCAGCCTAATATACCTCCCGCTCTTTTACGTAACGCCCCACCGCTCTGGAGACTGCAGACATCAGAGACAAGCACAAAGCACTGACACAAACCCACACATTCAGCAAAGGGAAACTCAGATTGAGTTATTTAGGACTATTTCCGTCGTCTACATAGATACAGAGGGAGTGACAGTGGGAGACGGCTGTTTCAGACAATGGCCTCACTGAGTGGGTCACTGTCAGAGTGTGAGGCCGTGACCTTGTGTGAGACAGACAAAAGGCTCAGACCAAACACAGAGTGCACTGTAATAAAGTCAATAAAAGAGACAGCAGCCATAGCCGAGGGGATCTGAAGCGAAGAACACCCAGGCGTAGAGGACGCAGGTACACATGTCTGTATGTGTCAATGAAAAAGTAAACAAAGCCATTCCAAGTGTTCTGAGGTGAAATGCTCCGTTCTAGAGACCCTTACCCAGTCAGAATTGTTCACAGGGGTGGTGATAGGAACCAGACATCCACCTCTAAAAGCTGCCTCACAGAAAGTTATTACATGAAACGGTTGTGAATATGCTGCCTGACGTCTGAGATATTGCTTTATAATAGTTTTACAATAAGCTTTTGTCCTAAAACATTTTTTAGGCCAAATAGGCCCCAAACAAGATTTACCACTTTTGTATCATTTCTAACATTACATATAAACTCAGGAGACACGTGTAGGTTCACTGGTCATTTTGGGTAGTAAACAAAATGTCTATGTGTGCATAGACATTGGGACTCCTGGTTCCTATAACCACCACTGTAAAAAAATCTGACTATGTAAGTTTCTCTGAATTAGATCTCCATGATTAAATTATGCAGAAATTTCATAAATTCAGTGGAATTCTCCTTTTTTGAATTGATGTGTCTGTAAATGTCAAGGGAAGCTTGTGAGATTATGTGTGTTGTGTGTGAGTCACTCTGCTGGGCTCTTCCTCTCTCCCTCAGAGAGACACATTGATTAGACATCTGTCTCTGTATCTTTATCTCTCTATCTCTGTATCTTCATCTATCTCTTTCTGTGTTTTTATATATCTCTGTATTTCCCTTTCTTCATCTCTTCATTTCTGTATGTTACTTTCTCCTCCTTTCTATCTCTGTATTCATCTCTCTCTCTCTCCTACGCTTCATCTGTCTCTCTCTCTTGATCTGCCTCTCAGTATCTTTCTCTTGCTCTCTATGTATCTGTCTCTGAGTCTCTGTCTTTGTCTCTTTCTGTATCTCCCTCTGTTTCTCTCTGTCCATCTACCTGCGTCTCTCTCTTTTTCTATTTCTTTCTCCTGATCTCTCTCTCTGTATATATCTCTATATCTGTATGTTTCTCTCTCTCTCTGTACCTGTATCTCTCTTTCTTTCTCTGTATGTCCTTCTCTCTCTGTACTTGTATCTTTCTTTTTCTGTATCTGTCTTTCTCTCTCTGTACTTGTATCTTTCTTTTTCTGTATCTGTCTTTCTCTCTCTGTACCTGTATCTCTCTTTCTTTCTCTGTATGTCTTTCTCTGTCTCTCTCTCTGTACCTCCCTCTGTGTTTCTCTCTCTGTGTACCTGCGTCTCTTTTTTTCTCTATTTCTCTATCCTGATCTCTCTCTGTATATCTATATATGTCTGTTACTCTTCCTCTCTCTGTACCTGTATCTCTTTCCTTCTCTGTATCTCTCTCTCTCCATACCTGTATCTCTCTTTCTTTCTCTGTATCTGTCCCTCTCTCTCTCTGTACGTGTATATCTTTCTTTTTCTGTATCTATCTTTCTCTCTCTCTGTACCTGTATCTCTCTTTCTTTCTCTGCATGTCTTTCTCTGTCTCTCTATCTGTACCTGTATCTCCTTCTTTCTCTGTATCTGTCTCTCTTTCTGTACCTGTATTTCTTTTCTTTCTCTTTCTGTACCTGTATCTCTGTTCTTCTCTCTATCTGTCTCTCTCTCTCTCTTTCTGTATCTGTCTCTCTTTCTTTCTCTGTATCTGTCTTTCTCTCTTTTTCTGTACCTGTATCTCTTTCTTTCTCTGTATCTGTCTTTCTTTCTCTCTTTCTTTCTCTGTATCTGTCTTTCTCTCTTTTTCTGTACCTGTATCTTTTTCTTTCTCTGTATCTGTCTTTCTTTCTCTCTTTCTTTCTCTGTATCTGTCTTTCTCTCTTTCTCTGTACCTGTATCTCTCTCTGTATCTGTCTGTGTTTCTCTCTGTATCTCTTTTTCCTACTTCTCTCTTTGTACTTGTCTCTTTCTGTTTGTCTATCTCTCTCTGTACTGGTCTCTCTCACTCTCTCTGTCTTTCTCTCTCTGTATTGCCCCCCCTGTCTCTCTCTCTGTATGTCTGTCTTTCGTTCTCTTTCTCCCTGTACATCTCTCCCTGTATCTGTCTATCTCTCTCTCTGAACCTGTATCTTCCTCTCTGTCTATCTCTCTCACTGTACCTGTATCTCTCTCTCTGTCTATCTCTCTCACTGTACCTGTATCTCTCTCTCGGTCTATCTCTCTCACTGTACCTGTATCTTCCTCTCTGTATATTGCATGTTTTCCCTCTGTATAACTCTCTTTGTATCTGTCTCTCTTTCTCTCTGTATCTCTCTCTTTGTCTCTATCCTCTCTCCGTCTGTATCTGTAACCCTCTCTCTCTCTACCCTCTCTCCCTCTGTATCTGTATCTCTCTCTCTCTCCTTATAAGAATCATGAGCGTTGGAGGTAAGAGCTGAATTGCTGCAGTCTCCACTCAGATTTGATTAGCTTTGTGCGTCTGTGTGTGCGTGTGTGTGTGTATGTGCAGTTGTGTGTGAAAGAGCATGGAGGTCAAGTGTGTGGAGTTATTGCTTTTGCCTGTGTGCCTCCAGGGAGGAGCCCACCTCCACAACCCAGCGCTTCATAATCTCATCCTGCTGTAATTGCCTTTCACTGCTAAGAGGGGCTACAAGGGGGGATATTTTGTGACTCAAGCTGTGATACAGTAATCTGGCTTTAGGACCGTGGGGAAAACCCCCAAACAGGAGCCAGCCTGATATAACGAAGTTTATATTGAGTTAGAAAAGAGCAGTAGAGAGTGGAGTGACCATTACAGAGTTTCTGACCTGCTTTTATTCCCACTGTTTGTTATTAACCCTCAGAAGTCACTGATATCCCTGACAATAATAAAAGCACAGTGTATTCTGATATGAATTATTTCTCACTCGTAGCTCATGAAAACAAATGGAGAAATTCTGTGGAAAGTTCAGATTCTAAACTTCCAATCCACACCACACTCGCATTTGTAAGAAGAATTATGATTTGATTTCGAGGAAATCATTGTTGTGTGAACAGTCTTGTTTTGCAGAAAGTTGAAATCTGTTTGACACTTAAATGAAGGGAAAAAGTTGCAAGCAAAAAGTTGTACACATAATGCAACTGTAATTCATCATGTAACTAATTTACTTACATAATTATAATTATAATGGTTAATGTTTCTCTCAGGACTGGACAGAACCAGAAAAGCGTGAGCTAGAACTTTTGCCCCCCCGGTTTGGTCTACATTTATCATACAGGAGAAGAAGTGAAGAGAAGAGAAGAGAAGAGAAGAGAAGAGAAGAGAAGAGAAGCAGAAAGGAGTGAACATAAATACAATGGAAGACAGAGAAGAAGAAAGGAGTGAATAGAAGTATAATAGAAGAAAGAGAAGAGAAGAAAGGAGAAGAGTTGAGTCCTCATTGTGAAACAGTGTAGTACTGAATAGTATTCCTGTAAAACAGCTGTGTGTCTTTGTGTTTTTTAAATGAAGATCTTAAATGAAGACGTGTGTCTTTGTCCTGCCACTCAAACTCCTAGTGCAGCATGAGAAAGAGGAACGTTCCTCAGAGGCTCATTCATTCATTCAAAGAAAAGCCTACAAGAAGAGTGAGAGAGAGAGAGCGACAGAGGGAGAGATGCCGCCCTCTGACCCCCAGAGACCTGCCACCTTTGGCTGTGGAGCATTACAGAAGGAGAGGAAAAGACAGAAAGAGGGAGATAAATGGACTACAGAAGGGTGTATGAGAGAGGGATGGCGAAAGAGGGAGAATAAAGCTGATGAGAGAGAGAGAGAGTAAGAACAAGACACAGGAAGAAAGGGACAGAGTAAAGAAAGAAGTAGTGTGAGATGGAGAGATGGCAAGAGAGGAGTAAAGAAGAGTTAAAGGGAATAAATGAGACAGAGAGAAAGGTGGTGAAATGATAGAGAGAATAGGTGAATAGGTTAGAAGAGTATATAGTGACAGAGATAAAAAAACAGAAAGAAAGAAAAGGGAGGGTGGGGACAATCCATTCATGCCCCCCACTGCAGCCCTGGTTACCACAGAAACCACCTTTTGTGAGTGAGTTGGCCCAGTGCCCTGTTATGTGTGTGGAGTTCAGTGGTTTAGCTCTACACTATCCCCGCTAGCGCACACATCCTCATTTACAGACACAGCAGTTCAGGCATTTATCTTAGTGAACTGGAAGGTGACGCACCGGGCAAATTCTTCTTCACAATCAGAGAGAGAAAGACAGAAACAGAGAGAGAGAGAGAGAGAGAGAGAGTAATAGCAACTTTTACACACTTTCACTTTGCCATTTCTCATTTGGACTACAAGCTATTGCTGTGTCAGGGCTAGAAGTCTGCCA